AATTACGAGATCTACGACAAAGAAATGCTTGCAATCATGCTATCACTAGACGAATGGAGACAGCTACTACTGGGAGCCACGGAGACGTTTGAGATCTTCACTGATCATCAGAATCTTGAGTACTTCCGGAAGCCGCAGAAGCTCAATCGACGGCAAGCACAATGGATCACGGAGTTGGCAGAGTTTGATTTCACTTTACAACACCGACCCAGCGCACTCAACCGCAAGGCGGACCTCCTGTCTTGACGAGCGGATCACGATCAGGGCAAGAACAACAACAAGGACGTCACGCTACTGAAGCCCGAGTTCTTCCGATCACAAGAAGTCACATTCGAGGGACAGGATCAGCAGCTAATCAATGAAATCAAGGCCATTCGATCGATTGATGGAAGCGTCAAGGCGGCCTTAGAGAAGTCACTCGTCAGATGGAAGAAGGAAGAGGGGCTTATCACGTATCATGGGAAGCTCTACGTACCAAGGGACAAGGAACTGAGAGACAAGATCATTGGGCTACACCACGACACACCCTTGGTCGGACACGCTGGGATCAATCAAACGCAGGAAATGGTGGAAAGGAACTACTGGTGGCCAAGGATGGGGAACCAAATCCGGAAATACATCCAGACGTGCGAGGCGTGCCAGCGGACCAAGACCAGGAGAGCAAGGACAGGGACTCTGCACCCGCATGCAGTCCCAAATGCGCCGTGGGAAATCATCTCCATGGACCAAATCGGACCCCTACTGGTCAGTAATGGGTATGACGCAATTCATGTGTGGTGTGACACCTTCACCAAAATGATCCATGTCGAACCAATTAGTACTGACATCAGCAGTGAAGGAGTTGCACGATTAACCAGGGACCGAGTTTTCCGCTACCACGGGATTCCCCGCAAGATCATCACCAACAGGGATTCACGTTACATCAAAGGCTTCATGAGGGAGACCAATTGGATGTTGGGCGTGGAAATGAATCCGGGGACCGCATATCACCCAATCACAGATGGACGAATGGAACGTATGAATCAGGAGATCGAGCACTATCTCCGCATCTACGTCAATTACCATCAGACGGACTGGTCGGAGTGGCTGGGAATGGCGGAGTTCGCATACAATGACAAGATGAACACGTCTACCAAAATATCACCATTCTACGCCAATCACGGATATCACCCATGGAAGGGAGTGGAACAACGGATGGAATCGAGGAACGAGTCGGCGGAGGAGTTTGTAAAAAGAATCAAAGAAATACAAGACAAAGCAAAAGCAGCACTAGAAAAAGCAAAAGAAAAAATGAAAAAATACTACGATAAACAAAGAAAAGAAGTTCCGGAGTTGAAGGTTGGGATGAAGGTGTACATAGAAGGGGAAAATATCGAGACAGATAGACCATCAAAGAAGATGAGCGACAAGAGATTAGGACCATACAAGATCCTGGAGAAGGTTGGAGCGGCCGCATGGAAGCTGGACTTGCCGGACACGGACCGAAGACACCCGGTGTTCAACGAGTCACTATTGACACCATATCACAAACCACCCCCCCATTGCCAAGAGAAGAGACCCGTAGCCAAGATGATTGGAGGAGCAGAAGAGTGGGAAGTTGAAGAGATCGTGAAAGAGCGAAACGTCGGCCGAGGAAAACAGTACTTGGTCAAATGGACGGGCTGGCCGCATAGCGAAAATACTTGGGAACCATCACGACACCTTACCCACGCAAAGAAGGTCCTGAGAGATTGGCAGAGGAAACAATCCAACCCAGACACACGCATTCGCCTCCTGCCAACGCTCGAAGCCGGACACTGGGATTATCTCATCCATTGCTACAAACCCAAGGACGAGCGCCTTCCATACCCCCAGCGACAACTCTTCGATCCCTACGAGAACGTCTTCACGTCCATTGGCCTAGTCGATGAGGACATCGACCCTAGAGAGGGGGTAATGTCATAATTCGACTCTTTTTCATCTTATCCTCAACGATCTCATCTTATCTTGCCACGGATTATCTTATCATGGATCACGGCATCAGACGGTCCAGGCTAGGGGTTCCAGGGGTTATTCTTATCAATTTGAGGCTGCGCGACACATGCTCCAGAAGGTTCTACTACAACCCATGACCAGTGCTCTATGCGGTACATAGCCTTATGACTCATTAGTTGAAGATATGACTCAGACTGGACTTGGGTATAAATACTGTAGCTACTTGGTTGTATTCTCCAGTCTTGGAATTCACTTCTCTTTTCGAGTATTGTTTTTGGTTGATTGTCACATTAGCACTGCCAAATGACACTGGCCAATATCGTCTGGAAGCCGATGCTTTGGAAGGGGCAACAGGATCTGTTTTGAGCCAAAACCAAGATGGCATTTGGCGCCCAATCACATTTATTTCACACGCATTGACCAAAACTGAGCGAAATTACAAGATCTATGACAAGGAAATGCTCGCAATCATGCTATCTTTGGACGAATGGAGGCAACTACTGATGGGAGCCACAGAAACGTTTGAGATCTTCACCAATCATCAGAATCTTGAGTACTTCCAGAAGCCGCAGAAGCTCAATCGACGGCAAGCACGATGGATCACGGAGTTGGCAGAGTTTGATTTCACCTTACGACACTGGCCCGGCGCAAGGCGGATCTCTTATCCCGACGAGCGGATCACAATCAGGGCAAGAATCACAACAAGGACGTCACCCTGCTGAAGCCCGAGTTCTTCCAATCGCAAGAAGTCACATTCGAGGGACAGGATCAGCAGCTAATCGATGAAATCAAGGCCATTCGATCGATTGATGGAAGCGTCAAGGCGGCCTTGGAGAAGTCACTCGTCAGATGGAAAAAGGAAGATGGGCTCATCACATACCATGGGAAGCTCTACATACCAAGGGACAAGGAACTGCGGGACAGGATCATTGGGCTACACCACGACACACCTTTGGTCAGACATGCCGGGATCAACCAAACGCAGGAAATGGTGGAAAGAAACTACTGGTGGCCAAGGATGGGAAACCAAATTCGGAAATACATCCAGACGTGTGAGGCATGCCAACGGACCAAGACCAGGAGAGCAAGGACGGGGACTCTGCACCCGCATGCAGTCCCAAATGCACCATGGGAAATCATCTCCATGGATCAAATCGGACCCTTACCGGTCAGTAATGGGTATAACGCAATTCATGTGTGGTGTGACACCTTCACCAAAATGATCCATGTTGAACCAATTAGTACTGACATCAGCAGCAAAGGAGTAGCACGGTTAACCAGGGATGTAAGGGCAACCTCGAGACCCGATCTCAGAGTTCTGGCAAGGGAGAATCCAAAGTGTTAATAGTGGTAGCTAGGTACAAGACTGGCATACCTGGCAAGGGAGAATCCAAAGAGAAACCGTGTTGGGGATTCTCCTTGCCAGGCGCCACTATTTATATGATACAAGAACAATAGAGCGCGCAGCAACGAACAAAGAACAATGGGAACAATCAATACAATGGCCATGACAGAACAATAGGAACAATGGCACCACCTGCCATCAGAGAGAAGCGCTTGGCGCGGCAGTCCGGGCCGCGGCACGTGACAGCTGACAGGTCACCCGAGCGCGATCGCATGCCAAATCCCAGGCTGATTGGTCTGAAGCGGGGGTTCCCCTGACAGACACGGACTGAAGACACCTGGTGTTCAACAAGTCACTGTTGACACCCTATCACAAACCACCCCCCCATTGCCAAGAGAAGAGACCCGTAGCCAAGATGATTGGAGGAGCAGAAGAGTGGGAAGTTGAAGAAATGGTGAAGGAACAAAAAGTCAGCCAAGGAAAGCAATACTTGGTCAAATGGAAGGGATGGCTGCATGGTGAAAATACCTGGGAACCATCACGTCATCTTACCCACGCAAAAGAGGTCCTGAGAGATGTCATAATTCGACTCTTTTTCATCTTATCATCGACGATCTTATCTTATCTTGGCACAACTTATCTTATCACGGATCACGGCATCAGACGGTCCGGGCTAGGGGTTCCAGGGGTTATCTCTATCGATTCGAGGCTGCGCGACATATGCTCCGGAAGGTTCTACTACAACCCATGACCAGTGCTCCATGCGGTACATAGCCCTATGACTCATTAGTTGTAGATATGACTCAGACTGGATTTGGGTATAAATACTGTAGCTACTTGGTTGTATTCTCCAGTCTTCGAATTCACTTCTCTTTTCGACTTGTTTTTGGGTTGATTGTCACATAATTCGAAGACTCCCCTCATACCCTCGTACCTCTTACCTCCTACCCTGCTCCGTGCACCGCTACGCCCGCTACATCCTCTTCACCCTTTTACCGAATCATCTAGTTGTTCTCTGCGATTGCAGTGAAGGGTTCATATCGAGCAAACAGCACCAGGCCACGGGTAACGTTGAGCCCGACCCAAGCCTTACGGTAGCTACAAGGAGTGCTGCGGAGACCTTCGGGAAAACGCACCTCGGGATCATTGGGCACGTGAAGAGCTAGGCCCGGGATCTTTTTGCTAGCAAAAGAACCTTTCCTCGAGTGCTTGTACAGCACACGAATCCACCATTTCGTACCGATTCCCATCGTCATCTGGGAGCCCATCCCCTCCCCCCATCATACCATCGTCGCCCGATCTGGCGCATCAAAACGAACCCGGACCCTCCAACCCCTACCTCGCCCTCCCGCCGCCTGAAGACGAGATCCCCGACCTTGGCGAGTTACCCTCCGAACAACCACCCTCGCCCCCACCTACCGCACCTGCTCCTACCATGTCAGGACATCACCGCATCACCCTCGCTGCCAACCCCCCCTACTTCGATGGCGACAAGTCCAAATACCTGGGCTTTGTGGACGCGTGCACCACTTACATCGGTGCCTATTGATCGGAATTCTCGCTGGATGAGACAAAAATCCTCTTTGTTCTGTCCTACCTCCGTAATGAGACCGGCACAAGCTGCGCTGCCTCGAGATGGGCGATGAACTGGAAGCAGCACAATTTCGAGGGTTTCCAAGGAATGAAGGCGGGAGTCACCGCGACAACCTTCTTGGAGGAGCTCCAAAAAGCCTTTGGGGATTCTAACGCAGAACAAGTTGCCGCTGCCCGACTCATGGCCCTTCGCCAGGGGAGACGGTCCTTCGCGGACTACATCTCTGACTTCGAAATGCTGGCTGCGGACGCGGGATACAACGTGGTCACCTCAACCAATGACAAGGGCGAGTACAAGAAGGGGGATCAGGACAACATCCTCATCGAGTTCCTCGAGCGTGGACTCAGCAGCGAAATTGCAAGCCGCCTCTACAACACCGGTGTCCCCCTGCCCAAGGCATATGGTGCCTTCAAGAACTGGTGCGTCAACATCGAGGCCAATGCCTTGCGCGATCAGCTGCGTAAGGCATCCTATGCGCACTCAACTCCGCGGCCCCCACCCCAATTCCGCCCTCAGGCTGCACCATCAGCACCTGCACCCGCTCCGGCCCGACCAGCGGCCAACAAGCCGGTTCCAATGGAGATCGATTGCACCCACGCCTGTGGCCGCAATATCATCTGCTACAACTGTCAGCAGCCTGGGCACATTGCGCGGAACTGCCCTGAGCCCAAGAAGAAGCGCACGTTCTTCAATCGGGCCACAATGCTAGAAGAAATCGAGAACGGGGACAAGGACAACGAGTTCCTCAAGGAGATCGCCGAGAAGCTGCGCGAGAAGGGTTTTTGAAGCGCTCCACTCCTCTAGCCAAGGAGGTGGAGCGTCCGGACTATGGACGTTTTTCTGTACTTGTTTCGATTAAAGACATGAACGATTCTACACATACATATACAATCTCGGACTCATTACGTACCAATATTCATGATTTTCTCATTGCTGATATGGAAAAGGAACAACAAAGAAAAATAGTTTTAAATAGAGAGTATTTACAAAGTAAAAAGGATCAGAAAGCTGCGGATAAATTAATTTTGGACTCCTACGTATTTATGGCTCGTGGAGAAGGAACCACGTCAACAAAGACCGAGAAGGGGAGCATCGCTCCGGAGGCTCAATCCTTGAAAAAGGAGGAAGCGCCCAAGGAATCTGCCGAAATCAAGGTTCCAGAAGTACCCAAACGCACAAGGGTGCCAGATGCCGTTCAAAGGAAATTGGCGGCCGAGAAACAGAAGGGTCCCCAGCCCAGCAGATTGGCGCAGGAATTGTGCAACTACCAGGCCGAAAGGAAGAGACATTCAATGGACGTATATGTCCAGATCACAGGCCTGGACTCAGGAAAGACGCGCGGAGTTAAGGCGCTACTCGACAGTGGCTGTAGCACCTGCTGCATCGATACTGACTACGCGCGGGCAGAGAAGTTGGATATCCAAGAACTTCCCCAACCCATTGTGGCTCGTAACGCCGACAACACCGAAAACATCAGCAGCCGGATCACGCATTACGTTGACCTAAGGATGAGAATCGGTCCTCACGTGGAGACACGCACGTTTCTTCTGACGTGCTTGGGGAAGGCCCGGATCTTCATTGGTCTTGACTGGCTGACGGAACACAACCCGGAGGTGGATTGGCAGGAGCAAACGATGAGATTGAGCCGATGCCCAGAACGGTGTCACATGAGGGGTCACGAGGAACACCAAGCGATGATTGACATGGATGCAATCGACCTGAACACGAGCGCACCGGATCTGGAAGAGGGAGAATCGATCCTGCTGATCGACTTTGGAAAGGAGGTAGATCTACGGCTGAAGGAAACACCGGCGCAGAAATTCGCAGAAGAAGCGGAAAAAGAGAAGGAGAGGATGACCGAAGGGAAAATTCCGGATCAATACCGGGAATTCGTCAAAGTATTTGCCAAGGAATCATTCGACTCACTACCGGACCGACGAACCTGGGATCATGCGATTGAGCTCAAACCCGGTTCCAAAGCAGTGGACTGCAAGGTGTACCCGCTATCACGAAACGAGCAGGTCAAACTCGACGAGTTCCTACAAGAGAACCTGGCCAGCGGACGAATCAGGCCATCAAAATCACCCATGGCCTCAGCATTCTTCTTCGTCAAAAAGAAAGATGGTTCGCTACGTCCCGTCCAGGATTACCGGAAGCTGAACGAGATGACAATCCGAAATCGATACCCGCTGCCACTGATCTCCGAGCTGGTCCATAATCTATGCGGCGCCAAGTTCTTCACCAAGCTCGACATCCGATGGGGATACAATAACGTACGGATCAAAGAGGGTGACGAGTGAAAGGCTGCGTTCCGCACGAACCGTGGACTGTACGAGCCCTTGGTCATGTTCTTTGGTCTCACGAACTCCCCGGCTACCTTCCAAAACATGATGAACGACATACTCCGAGAACTGATCAACGAGGGACACGTGGTAGTCTATCTGGACGATATACTGATCTTCACAGAGAACTTGGACGAACATCGGCGGATCACGAAACGAGTGCTCGAATTACTCCAGAAACACAAGCTATACCTGAAGCCCGAAAAGTGCGAGTTTGAACGCACGGAAATCGAATATTTGGGTGTAATTATTGGACACAATTCGATGCGGATGGACCCAGTCAAGATCAAGGGCGTGATGGAATGGCCGGAACCAAAGAGCGTCAAACAAGTCCAAGCGTTTCTAGGGTTCACAAACTTCTATCGGCGCTTTGTCCGGGGATACGCGGAGGTTGCCAAGCCATTGACACGGCTGACAGGAAAGGCAGGATGGTCATGGGGTGCAGATGAGCATGCGGCATTTGATGGATTGAAGAAGAGAATCGCGGAGGATGCGGTCCTAGCACTGCCAAATGACACTGGCCAATATCGTCTGGAAGCCGATGCTTCGGAAGGGGCAACAGGATCAGTTTTGAGCCAAAACCAAGACGGCATTTGGCGCCCAATCACATTTATTTCGCACGCATTGACCGAAACCGAGCGAAATTACGAGATCTACGACAAGGAGATGCTCGCAATCATGCTATCTTTGGACGAATGGAGGCAACTACTGATGGGAGCCACAGAAACGTTTGAGATCTTCACCAATCATCAGAATCTTGAGTACTTCCGGAAGCCGCAGAAGCTCAATCGACGGCAAGCACGATGGATCACGGAGTTGGCAGAGTTTGATTTCACCTTACGACACTGGCCCGGCGCAAGGCGGATCTCTTATCCCGACGAGCGGATCACGACCAGGGCAAGAACAACAACAAGGATGTCACGCTACTGAAGCCCGAGTTCTTCCGATCACAAGAAGTCACATTCGAGGGACAGGATCAGCAGCTAATCGATGAAATCAAGGCCATTCGATCAATTGATGGAAGCGTCAAGGCGGCCTTAGAGAAGTCACTCGTCGGATGGAAGAAGAAAGAGGGGCTTATCACGTACCATGGGAAGCTCTACGTACCAAGGGACGAGGAGTTGCGGGACAAAATCATCGGACTACACCACGACACCCCTTGGGTCGGACACGCCGGGATCAACCGAACGCAGGAGATGGTGGAAAGGAACTACTGGTGGCCAAGGATGGGAAACCAAATTCGGAAATACATCCAGACGTGCGAAGCGTGCCAGCGGACCAAGACCAGAAGAGCCAGGACAGGGAGTTTGCACCCGCATGCAGTTCCAAACGCGCCGTGGGAAATCATCTCCATGGATCAAATTGGACCCTTGCCGGTCAGTAACGGGTATGACGCAATTCATGTGTGGTGTGACACCTTCACCAAAATGATCCATGTCGAACCAATTAGTACTGACATCAGCAGCGAAGGAGTGGCACGACTAACCAGGGACCGAGTCTTCCGCTACCACGGGATCCCTCGCAAGATCATCACCGACAGGGATTCGCGTTACATCAAGGGCTTCATGAGGGAGACGAATCGGATGTTGGGCGTGGAAATGAATCCGGGGACCGCATATCACCCGATCACGGATGGACAGACAGAACGCATGAATCAGGAGATCGAGCATTATCTCCGCATCTACGTCAACTACCATCAGACGGACTGGTCGGAGTGGCTAGGGATGGCAGAATTTGCATATAACAATAAAATGAACACATCTACCAAAATATCGCCATTCTATGCGAATCACGGATATCACCCATGGAAGGGAGTGGAGCAACGGATGGAGTCGAGAAACAAGTCGGCGGAGGAATTTGTAAAAAGAATAAAAGAAATACAAGACGAAGCAAAAACAGCACTAGAAAAAGCAAAAGAAAAAATGAAAAAATACTACGATAAACAAAGAAAAGAAGCTCCGGAGTTGAAGGTTGGGATGAAGGTGTACATAGAAGGGGAAAATATCGAGACGGATAGACCATCAAAGAAGATGAGCGACAAGAGACTAGGGCCATACGAGATTTTGGAGAAGGTTGGAGCGGCCGCATGGAAGCTGGATTTACCGGACACGGACCAAAGACATCCGGTGTTCAACGAGTCACTGTTGACACCCTATCACGAACCACCCCCCCATCGCCGAGAGAAGAGGCCTGTAGCCAAGATGATTGGAGGAGCAGAAGAGTGGGAAGTCGAAGAGATCGTGAAAGAGCGAAACGTCGGCCGAGGAAAACAGTACTTGGTCAAATGGAAGGGATGGCCGCATAGCGAGAACACCTGGGAACCATCACGTCACCTTACCCACGCGAAGAAGGTCCTGAGAGATTGGCAGAGGAAACAATCCAACCCAGACACACGCATTCGCCTCCTGCCAACGCTTGAAGCCGGACACTGGGATTATCTCATCCATTGCTACAAACCCAAAGACAAGCACCTTCCATATCCCCAGCAACAACTCTTTGACCCTTACGAGAACGTCTTCACGCCCATTGGCCTAGTCGATGAGGACATCGACCCTAGAGAGGGGGTAATGTCATAATTCAGCCCTTTTTCATCCTATCATTGACCACCTTATCTTATCTTGGCATGGATTATCTTATCATGGATCACGGCATCAGACAGTCCGGGCTAGGGGTTCCAGGGATTATCTTTATCGATTTGAGGCTGCGCGACATATGCTCCGGAAGGTTCTACTACAACCCATGACCAGTGCTCCATGCAGTACATAGCCTTATGACTCATTAGTTGTAGATATGACTCAGACTGGATTTGGGTATAAATACTGTAGCTTATGGTTGCGGGTATTAGGCTGATCAAATTTACATGTGCTAATTAGTGTAGGTAAATTACCGTAAATTACCTATATCTGGCCCAGGGTCCAAAATTGGCATGCAAATTAGCCGTCCCTGGTAAAATAGGTTTGGTGGTTGACTCGGGCAGATATTGAGATAAATGGCAATTGCAGTGTACAGAATATTTTGGTAGGACTTCTGTGTGATGGTTCAGGCATAAAAAGCCATGAATGTGCAGCCCCAGGAAGCTTGATAAGAGCCCAATGCCAGCTGGACCTAATTCGGACTAGACCCAATTCGGACAGGTCATCCAAGCACCCAGACAGAACTGTTGGGGCGTGCTCCCTTGGCTTCAAAATGTCTCGTCAAAGTTTCACATAAAGGCTGAGAAATATTTTGGAGTGTCTGGCCAACTTTGATATATATATGAAATACACTGGAACTCTTCAAATGGTGTGTAAACAATTTTAAATTTCATTTCAAGTGCATGTTTTATCAGCAGTTCGCGTAGAGATGTTGGATGGCCCTCTGCTTCAAATTCTGGGGAAGATTATTATGTGAATAGTACAATCAATAATGTCTATGCGCTTGTCGGAAGAGCTCTGCTCCGCCCTGGACCCTGCGCTAATTAGCATGGTAAATTACGGTCAAATAGACCCCCGGTGACGTGCCTGCGGACGGAATAGGCGTGAGCTAACACAAAATGGGGGTCAGCTACGACCTAAAACAGTGCAGGAATAAATGTGATGTGCGAGGAGGTCCACAAGATTCAGTGCCGTGGCAGGCAGTAAGAAATGATGATTTTAGACGTGGGACGAAGTCGAGGGCGGCGTGGGACGGATGCGACGAAGCAGAGGGTCGAAATACCCAAGTAGAAACGAGCTGAAGACGAGAACTGAACTCAAGACTATGAGGAGAATAAATCTATTTTTCTTTTGTCCAACTACAAGCTTTTGTATGTGAGACAATGAAATAATCATCAGAGTGGGTGAAATATCGACAGGATGGAGCAAGGGACGGTGAACAGAGGAACCAGGGAAGTGAGAGGGGAAAAACAGGTACAAGTGGATGGTGAAGTAAGAAAGGCAGGGGTGTAGAGATAAATGTGCAGACAGCAGTCCAGGGATGTGAATATCAAAAATATATGCAGGGCTGGATGAACCAGTGAATAGCCAGGGCTGAGGAATATTGAGGAGACCCTCAGTTGTGTGCAAAGCGTGCGCCCACTGATTGCTGATTGACATGCACTGCCACACGTCAGGACTTGTCGGATAGATAGGCCAGTCCGTCATCTCCTCCTGACTGAAAAAATGACCGTCCTCGGTCATAGAATAGCGGACAAGTGTCTTGAGGAATAGAAATGTGAAGATAAAGGCTCAGTAGATCATCATAGCCTTAGCTCCTCGGAGCTGCGCAAGACAATGATGAATCAAAGGATGCGACTTGGGGGGAAAGGAATGGGCAGCAAAGTCGAAAGGAGAGGGTGCTCAGCTGTGCAGGTGCATCCTCCTGACTGAAACGCGTTCTCTAACTCTTCTACAACTCTTCACAGCTCTCCTCCTCTTCCTGATCTGTTTCTGGGTCCACCAATGTTGACTGCTCGAGCTCGCGCAGTTTCTCGGTTGAGATATCGAGGAAATTGTCCAGGGGAGGGAGGGGGATTGTTGTGCGTGCAAAATAAGGTATAACACGAAAAGCGGCGATGGGACGATGGAAAACTGAGCCGTCTAGCTCACACAGGATGTAGGCGCCTCCCTTGTTGCGCGAAATGATGACTAATGGGCCCAAATAGCGTTTGCGCATCTTCATATTGAGGGACTTCTCGATGGCCGTGTTCCTCATCAAAACCAGGTCGCCCTGCTTGAAGTTGAAGTCGCAGATCGTGGCGGCGTGCTCGATCTCGAAGCGTGCAGCGTCACGCAGTCGTGCTTGATAAACTCGAGAGTGTAGGGCTTCTAGATCGCTTCGGCGTTTCTGGAGCGCAATGGCGCGTCGTGCAATGAGATCCGTGGTCGAAAGGACGGTTTCGGGCGGCGGGAGCAGGTATGTGGCTTCTGATAAATCGAGGGGAATTAATGGATGCGTTCCAGTGACCGCAAAATAGGGTGAGCAGCCCATGCGACGACGGACAGTGACACGGTCCGCCCAGAAGACCGAATAAGCAGCAGAACTCCAGTTCTTCTGCTCCCCATCTACAGCCTTGAAGAGCGCCTCGCGGATGTCGAAATGTGGATTTTCAATCAGCCCATTTGCGCGTGAGTTGTATCCCGAAATGCGCACATGACGGACGTGATACTTAGCTTCCAGGTACGCCAATGCCTTCACAAACGGTGCGCCGTTGTCTGACACGATTTCTGTGAGCGTCCCCCATCTGCAGATCAAGTCCTGGAAGATCCATTCGCCCAGGGTGGTCGCTGTCTCACGGCGCAGCATGCGGAACTCAGGAAAAAGCGAAATCGAGCATCGTCCTTGCACAATGTAGCGGAATCCAGCGCTTGGCGGCATGTGCATAGTGTCCATATGAATTTTCGAAAACAGTGGGGCCGGGACCGCGACGGTAGGGGGGATAAGGAGCTTCTTTGTCTGTCGAATCTGACATAGGTGGCAGGTGCGTAGGTACCAGGTGACGTCGTGTGCAAGGAATGGCCACCAGAATTGTTCCGTGAGTAAAGCCTTCGTTGCGTGGAATCCCTTGTGACCAACGTCGTCGTGGGCAGATCGCAGGATGAATATTCGACGGTGGGAGGGAACAACTAGCTTGTGGCGTCCGTGTGCGTCCTTGCGCCAAAGCTTTCGATTTTCGAGGTAGAATTCCATGCTAAACCGAATAAATGCCTGATATTGCTGTTCAGACATGTCCCGTGGGCGTCGTAGCGTCTCAAGCCATCCCTGAACCAGATCTACACGATGATCGGCGAGTCGAGCTGCTTCTGAGCGAGGTACCTGATCGTAGCTCAGTGTAGGCGGTGTTGTGGACTCGGTGGGTGCAATTTCGGCGGAAAATGAGTGGATCGTGGATTGGCGTCGTGAAACGAAGGGTAAGTCATTGATTATGTGCATAAAACCGTGCACCTCGTCGATCCAGTCATCAAAACCGTCGTCCTCATGCTCTAACTCGTCTCCAGGCTGTGCGGGTCGTCTGGACAATCCATCCGGGCCGTATTTGACGCCAGGGACATGTACTAGCTCGAAATGGAAGGTTAAGATTGCCAGGATCCAGCGGTTGATACTGGCTGAGGGCGAAAGATCGGGGTTCCGTAGCATACCCTTGATGTACCTAGCATCGACTTCAACCACTAGATTTCGTAGACCGATCAGGTGGAGCTTCCATGAACGAAGGGCGCGGAATAATCCATACAGCTCTATCTTCTTCAGTTGAGCCTTTGCTGGCCAGACATTCCATCAAATAAAATACCGTGTTGCACAACAGTAGTGTGATTGGGTGTGGGAGCTGAGCCCAGGGCGCAAAGCCGGCGGGGTGCGGATGACCCCGCAGACTCTGCTCTACTGCTGTACAGCAAGAAAAATCAAACAGGCTGTGGGTGGGTGGGTGAGCGCAGAAATGGGAATTTGTCAAGGATGAGATCGCCGGCAGGTGGGTGGAAGGAGAGAGTGAGCTCACAGCCACCCCCTGCTCTTCGGCTCTCTCCCTCACAAGATGATGCATTGATCTCCCTCTCTCACTCAATGCATCCATCTTCTTCAGTTGAGCCTTTGCTGGCCAGACATTCCATCAAATAAAATACCGTGTTGCACAACAGTAGTGTGATTGGGTGTGGGAGCTGAGCCCAGGGCGCAAAGCCGGCGGGGTGCGGATGACCCCAAAATGTGCTGCCCAGCCAGAACAACGCCGGCTCACCCAAAAGAAAGCAGCACAGCTTGTGTGTCAGTAAAGTATGCACGATATGCACGCCGGAAAATGTGCAGGCTATGCACAGTACACAATATGCACATGTGCAGGCTATGCACCGTCAAAAATGCACGATAGGCAGTCGAGTTATCCATGATATGCACGCCGGCAAATGTGCAGGTTATGCACCGTCAAAATATGCATGATATGCAGTCGAGATATGCACGATATGCACCCAGGAAACAACGCAGGATATGCGCAGCGCATGATATGCGCAATTCTTGGCTAATGAACGTCAAAGTATGTACAATATGCACGCCGGAAAATGTGCAGGATATGCACAGTGCACAAGATGCACAGATGCAGGCTATGCATTGTCAAAAATGCATGATATACACCGCAGGAAAACGCAGGATATGCGCAATTCTAGGCTAATCAAAGTCGAAATAGGCGAAATATGCAAGCCGGAAAATGTGCAGGCTACGCCCAGTGCATGAAATGAGCATGTGCAGGCAATGCACGGTCAAATATGGATGATATGCAGCCGAAATATGGACGATATGCATGCCGGAAAATGTGTAGGCTATGCACGGCGCACAATATGCGTGGGTGCAGGCTATGCACGCCAGAAAATGCGCAGGATGTGCACAGTGCACAATATGCGTGGGTGCAGGCAACGAATAGGCGTAGGTGCATGCTATCCACGCCGAAAAAGCACGATATGCACAGTAGAAAATACACAGGATATGCGCAAGTGCAGGCTATTGAAAAGCAGGATATGCACGGCAGGAAATATGCAGGATATGCGCAGGTGTAGGCTATGCACCATCGAAATGCACAATATGCGTGCCAGAAATATGCAGGATATGCGCAGCGCAAGGTATGCGCAGGTGCAGCCTATGCACCAGCAAGAATGCACGATATGCATCCCAGAGAATACGCAGAATGTGCGCAAGTGCAGGCTATGCGCAGGTGTAGGCTATGCACCATTAAAAATGCACGATATGCCCAATGAAAATACACAAGATATTGCCCAGTAGAAAATACTCAGAATATGCGCAAGTGCAGGCTATGCACAGTCGAAAATGCAAGATAGGAACCACAGGAAAGGCGCAGGATATGCGCAGGGCAGGATGCGCAATGCAGGCTATGCACGGTCAAAAAATGCATGATATGCATGACATGTACGATATGCACGCCCAAAAATATGCAGAATATGCGCAGTGCACAATACACAATATGCACGCCAGAAAGGACGCAGAATATGCGCAGCACACGATATGCACATGTGCAGCCTATGTACACTCAAAATGCACGATATGCACACCCAAAATACGCAGACTATGCGCAGCGCACAATATGCAACATCAAAAATGCATGACATGCGCGACATGCACAATGTGCATGCCCAAGAATACGCAGACTCTGCGCAGCACAAGATATGCGCAAGTGCAGGCCATGCACAGTCGAAAATGCATGATATGCATGCCAGAAAATACGCAGGATAGGCGCAGGTGCAGGCTATGCACGGTCAAAAAGTGCACGATATGCACTACAGGAAATCTGCAGAATATGCGCAGCGCACAATATGCGCCAGTGCAGGCTATGCACACTCAAAATGCACGATATGCACACCCAAAATACGCAGACTATGCGCAGCACACGATATGCACCATCAAAATGCGCGATATGCACAGTAAAACACACGCAGAATATGCGCAGCGCACGATAGGCGCAGGTGCAGGGGATTCACCATCAAAATGCACAATATGTCCAGTGGAAAATACGCAGAATATACGCAGTGCACAATATGCACAGTCAAAAATGCACGATATGCACCGCAGGAAAGGTGCAGGATATGCGCAGCACACGATATGCGCAGTATAGGCTATGCACAGTCGAAAATGCACAACATGCACTAAGGAAAGGCGCAGGATATGCCCAGCGCACGATAGGCGCAAGTGCAAGCTATGCACGGTCGAAAAATGCACGATATGCACCACAGGAAGGGCACAGAATATGCGCAAGTGCAGGCTATGCACGGTCGAAAATTGCACGACATGCACGACATGCACGATATGCACGCCCAAAGATATGCAGAATATGCGCAGCATACGATATGTGCAAGTGCAAGTGATGCACACTGGAAACATGCACGATATGCATACCCAGAAATACGCAGAATATGCGCAGCGCACAATATGTGCAGTGCAGGCTATGCACAGTCGAGAAAGAGCATAATATGCCCAGTAGAAAATATGCAGAATATGCGCAAGTGCAGGCTATGCACACTCAAAACATGCACGATATGCACACCCAGAAATACGCAGAATATGCGCAGCGCACAATATGCGCAAGTGCAGGTGATGCACACTGGAAACGTGCACGATATGCATACCCAGAAATACGCAGAATATGCGCAGCGCACAAAAGGCGCATGTGCAAGCTATGCACCATCAAAAATGCATGATATGCACGCCAGAAAATATGCAGAATATGCGCAGCGCACGATATGCGCATGTGCAGTCTATGCACACTCAAAATGCACGATATTCATGCCAGAACATACGCAGAATATGCGCAAGTGCAGGCTATGCACGGTCGAAAATGTACGATATGAACACCCAAAATACGCAGAATATGCGCAGCGCACGGTATGCCCAAGTGCAGGCTATGCACAGTCGAAAGATGCATGATATGCACGACAGGGAGGGCGCAGAATATGCGCAGCGCACGATAGGGGCAAGTGCAGGCTATGCATGGTCGCAAAATGCACGATATGCACGACAGGGAGGGCGCAGAATATGCGCAGCGCACGATAGGCGCAAGTGCAGGCTATGCACAGTCGAAAAATGCACGATATGCATGCTGGAAAATGTGCAGGCTATGCACCGTCGAAAATGCACGATATGCAGTCGAAATGTGCACGATATGCACGCCGGAAAAACGCAGGATATGCGCAGCGCACGATATGCGCAAGTGCAGGCTATGCACGCTCGAAAAATGCACGATATGCATGCTGGAAAATGTGCAGGATATGCACCGTCGAAAATGCACGATATGCAGTTTAAATATGCACGATATGCACGCCGGAAAAACGCAGGATATGCGCAGCGCAGGCTATGCACCGTCTAAAAATGCACAGAGTGCAGGGCAGCAACATGCATGATATGCACAGAAGCAAAGACACTGGAGATGCGCAGCAGAGATCATGCAAAATATGCACAAGAGTGACAACTCACTAAATTCGAAGTAATTATTGACGCTATGTGGCCCAGGCCAGCGGCTGGGTCAAGACCAACGGTCCAGAATCAGGTGAGACCATAGAATGTCCCTGCAGCGTTGTTAGACAACGCCAGGAACCCAAAAGAACGAAAATATGCGATAATATCGCACCAAGTGCGATTAAATCGCAAGATTTGAACGCCCAATAAGAATGGGAGGGAAACCCGAATAAGAGCGGAATTGAAGCGAAGAGGTGTCTCCAGCATGCAGGGCTTGGAAGACAGACTGCTGGAGCGGATGCGCAGGGATAAATCGAAGGAATCAAGTGGGAATATCACTGAGAGGATCCCAGGGTTGAGAGCTTGGGTGGGAAGGAAAGGAGAGGGTGATGAGGGGTGGGGGATGTAGAGGGCGTCGTCCTGATGTCAGAATTGGGTCAGAAAACGTCGCTCTTGTTGAGCTCTAATTATAAAAGGAGGTCGAAGTACTCATCTCCATGGATGGGATGGGGCTATAGCCCTAACAAAGCTCTCAAATCGTCCAAAATTTCGAAATTGAGATGGAATCCATTGTGCAGAGATTAATGCAGACATTGAGGACTTCTGGGCGTTTCACAGTCGAGGAAAACGATGAAAGGGTGTGTAGAAAGAGCACAGAAATGGGAATTTGTCAAGGATGAGATCGCCGGCAGGTGGGTGGAAGGAGAGAGTGAGCTCACAGCCACCCCCTGCTCTTCGGCTCTCTCCCTCACAAGATGATGCATTGATCTCCCTCTCTCACTCAATGCATCCAGCTTGGGCTGTGAAAATCGAGCTTCTCGATCGTTAAGCGTGATTGAGCCAAACCGGGCATAGAAACGTCGACTGGGAGTGTTTGGATCGCACTGGGCAAGCAGGAAACCAACGGCGATCTGAGAGGTGTCCACGGATAAGATAACTGGGTCCCCAGATGAATAGTCGATTGGCCGGAGCGCAGGGCAGCTCAATAATGCGTGCTTCAGGTCGTCTTGGGCAGCGATCTGTGCAGTACCGAAGTGGAATGGCATATCCTTTCGTGTTAGAAGTGTCAGGGCGTGGGCACGATGCGCAAAATTCGAAATAAATGCACGGCAGACTCCTATGGTGCCCAGAAATGCACGGACTTCTGAGAGCGTCTTGCAGGGTCCCCAATTTGCGATTTTGTCGACTCTCTTCTCATCAGGGATTCGTCCAGCCGGTGTGCAGACATGTCCAACAACTGTGATGGTTTCGGCGCAGAGTGTGAGCTTGAGGCCAGAGAATGTCCCTCCGCAGTACTTCATCCTCTGAACGATTCGATTCAGATTTCCAAAATGTTCCCAAACGAACCGGCAAATCCCTGGATTCTCAGGGATCGTCTCAAATGATCCATCTTCTAGCTGATATCTCGATTTGGGGCCACGGCCCGGGACGTCGTCGATGTATGGCCAAGTAAATTCCGGGATTTCGGGCTGGAGGATGTAGGTGACGTCGTCGTGGAAGATGGGGACTGAATTCGTCCATCCCATGGGCAGGGTAACAAGTCTGAGAGCTCCATAGGGCGTCTGGAACGTTGTATAGTCGCGGGAGGCTGGCGCAAGCAACCGTTCGTCATATCCAACATATAAATCCAGCATGGCACCACAGGCTCGTCCTGCAAAATGCTCAGCCAGCTGCTCAGTGAACGGCGTGACGCCTGAGTGCTGAATTGTGACGGCGTTGAGTAGCTCCAGGGAATGAACCAAACGAAGGCTGGTGCCATCTTTCTTCACCACACAGAACCAACGGGATTGATAGGATGAATTGGACGGTTCGTACACTCCAGCAGCGATTTTCGAGCGTATGAGGTCGCAGACTTGATCGTAGATCCCAGGGGGAATGGGGATATTGCGCTGGACCCACGGTGTGTGCGGCATGACTGGGATATTGACAGGGGGAAAGAAATCGGTTCGAAAACGTCCTCGTTCTGATTCTTGCCATGCAAAGGCTCCTTGGTGAAGGCACATGAACTGGTGCATTAAATCTCTCTCAGCAGGCCACAGGAAGTCACCGCGGTGTGCGTCGTCAAGAGCAGCCTTGCGTTCGGCGGTGTAGCGTCCAGTCGGCACAAAAGGAGGCGGAATAGGATCCAGATATGGTAGATCTGCGAGTGGGTCGCCCAGGATCTGGCGCTCGATGCGGAATTCATCTGGGACAGATCCAAGAACAGGCCGAATTTTCCTGGCCACTGGCTTGTACTTTTTGTTAGCAAATTGTGACGTGGACGGGTAGAATTGAGATGAAGGAGACGTAGCAGTAGGATAGGTACGAGACGAGTTCAAAGAAAATATGGGAACGAATTTTGAACCAGGAGTTGAATCCTGGGTCGCTGAGGAAAACGCCGGTTGAACGACTGTATGTGCAAGAGAAATAGTCGAACTGTGTGCGGATAAATTGCTACAGGCAGAGAGATAAGTATGTTGTATGTGCGCAAGAGAGTCTGTGAGAGAAATGGGGGCATAGGACGAAAATACGTAGCGTTCTGGTTGATCTGGGCTGGCCTCGATCACAAAGGCGTACTCTCCTTGATCAGGAATCAAATCCTCGAGCTGCGAAAACCCTCTGAACGGGCACGGGGAGATCCGCGGGGCACAGTAGGCACAGTAGCCGTCTTTCCAGTGTTGGGATCGGTGATTGTGAGTGTTTGATCCGTGTTGGAAAAGTTTCGAATGACGCTTTCTGTCAGAACGTCAAATGGTCGTCCCAGGAGCACGTCGTAGGCAGCGTCACGCAGAATGTGCATCTGTAGGTACAATGTGATGTCCCCAATGCGAACCGGGACGTTTCGGGCTAGTCCAAGCGACGGTGTGATTGTTCCATTGGCAGATTGCATTTGTAGAACGATTCGAGGGTCATACGCAAGTCCCAACTCGTGACAGGTTGCCTGGGACATCGAAATAATCTGAGAACCACTGTCGACGATGCATTCCACTTGTTGCTGGTTGTCAATCACTGGGAGGATCGAGCGGATGGCCAGGGACTCGGCAGCCACAACTAGATTGTCTGGCAACCTTCCAGTCTGATTGTAGTAGACGGCGAATTTATCTGGGACCACCCAAGCGTCTGGGGGCAACGTCTGGCTGTAGGCGACTGGAAAATGCTCCGCAGCCAAAGCAAGGCGTGCATCTTCGTTTCGTTGCTGCTGAAGCACTTTTTCGACCAAATCTGAGTCGTCCTGAGCATATGGAAGGTCGTAGGGCATGCTATCAGTGACAGGATGCAGGAATTGAGGCACTGCCTCGCCAGTCTTGGCAGGGGGACGACGGAAACTAGTGGCTTCGCGGAATTGAGCACGGACTTCTGGGGCAATCGACAGGGTCTGGCGAAGCGTCTGGGTGACAGGGATGTCCAAAATGGCGTCGAAAACAGCTGCAGCATCTTTGGGGTTGTAGATCGGAGCCGAAGAGCGTGGGGGTTGTGATTTCTGCGCTGGAATCCCAACATTTCGTTCTTTGGGCGGTGCGTAAGCGCCATCACGAGCTGCGGCGTACGGATGGATTGGGGGTTGAGGCGGGGCAACTGGAGCAGCAGGGGCGGTCGCAGGAGGGACGGTTTCGATTGGAACAGGTGGAACGACTGGATTTCGCGCTACCGCCGGTGGAATAGTGCGTTCAGGGACTTCTGGTTGATTAGCAACTTCCATAGCGCGTTTAGCTTGGGCCCGTGTGCGTAGTTGATTAATTTCAGCCGTCAGAACTGCCATTTGTTCTTCGTCCGTGAGTTTGAACGTTTGAACGAGCCCAGGCGCCGCAGAAGACAGCAAATTCTGGTGAGAAACTTCCAAAATCATCTGCGGAGCTGCTGCCTGACCTGGGTTTGCTTCATGCCACTTCTGAATGCGCTCTCGAAGATCCTTTCCTTGGACAATATTTGGCACATATGCGCCTGAGGGGAGGACGACTTTCCCATCCACATTGCGGCGGCATTTTCCGTCTCGAATATCCGTCGAAACGTGGGGACATTGGCTGATAAAATGCTCGAGATCACTGCAATAACTGCAGCCATCAGGACGGCGACGGCGGGGCAGGGCGTTGGCGGACTGTGATTGTGCTGGGGCACCAGGATTGGCGTGTTGAGCAGCGATTATTCGAACTAGATCTGAGACGGATGAAACTAGTGCAGTAATTCCAGGGTCTGATTTGATTGTGAGCTCGGTTCCGGGCTGAGACGTGGGCATTCCAGGAAGTAAGGTCGATGATCCTGAAAGGACGAATTTAGCAGCGTCGTACAGATCTGACAAATCATATGGATCCTCAGGGTGAACGTCTGGCTTCTTGATCTGAAGTCTCTGGCGAACTGAGACGGACAACGAGGCTGGATTCATAGCTCGAAGGAAAAATCGGCTCTGTTCTGCCACAGAGAGTCGTTGTTTGCTAATCAGGAATGTTGTGATGTGTAGGAATCGTCGATAAAATTGTGTGAGGTCGTCCTTTGTGTGGATTCCCATGCGAGATGTCTGCCCAACGAGCATGTCCAAATCGTCGAGGCTGAAACGACGATCTGTGTCGTTCCCTGCGTAGAGGCTGAGGGCGTCCAATTTGAAGTCGTGGTACGATTTGTTGGCGTCTGAGAATGACGGTAGACCTTCCCAAATCTCCTGATCTTTGACGGAAAGGAATCTGACCGCATGCCCCTTCATTTGGGCAGCGTCAGTGACGGCAGATCGAGCTAGAAGGAACTCCAGATCGAGGAAATAACGGCGCAACTCGTGGGGCTTGGACGAATCAAAGACTGGGGCGTTTCGATCGCCTCTGGCTGGCATGGGAGTGGGAGTAGCCATATTTTGAGAAGGAATATTCGTGTTGTGAAGGGGGGATGGTGAACGCGTTGTTGGAGGCGAATCAAAGAGCCAGGATAGCGTTGGAGAGCTCGGGGAATGCGGTGAGAGGTTGTTGTGTTGTGCAAGGGCGCTGGGGACAATGTCAAAAAGGTGTTCGTCGTCGAAAGAGAGAGTTGTGGGGTCGTTGAGAGCAACAGCTAGCTCTTCACGGAGCGTGCGACGTAGCTCAGAATGATTGTTGTGTCGCAGACTGCGAGAGGCACCAGAATCTATGTTGAAATCCCCTCGCGGTGGGCTCCAAAATGACGTGCCTGCGGACGGAATAGGCGCGAGCTAACACAAAATGGGGGTCAGCTACGACCTAAAACAGTGCAGGAATAAATGTGATGTGCGAGGAGGTCCACAAGATTCAGTGCCGTGGCAGGCAGTAAGAAATGATGATTTTAGACGTGGGACGAAGTCGAGGGCGGCGTGGGACGGATGCGACGAAGCAGAGGGTCGAAATACCCAAGTAGAAACGAGCTGAAGACGAGAACTGAACTCAAGACTATGAGGAGAATAAATCTATTTTTCTTTTGTCCAACTACAAGCTTTTGTATGTGAGACAATGAAATAATCATCAGAGTGGGTGAAATATCGACAGGATGGAGCAAGGGACGGTGAACAGAGGAACCAGGGAAGTGAGAGGGGAAAAACAGGTACAAGTGGATGGTGAAGTAAGAAAGGCAGGGGTGTAGAGATAAATGTGCAGACAGCAGTCCAGGGATGTGAATATCAAAAATATATGCAGGGCTGGACGAACCAGTGAATAGCCAGGGCTGAGGAATATTGAGGAGACCCTCAGTTGTGTGCGAAGCGTGCGCCCACTGATTGCTGATTGACATGCACTGCCACACGTCAGGACTTGTCGGATAGATAGGCCAGTCCGTCACCGGCCAAAGGCTGTGTATTTTACAAGCGTCAATTAGAGCCAAGACCTATTACCCGCAACCATACTGTAGCTACTTGGTTGTATTCTCCAGTCTTCGAATTCACTTCTCTTTTCGACATTATTTCTTGTTGATTGTCATACAAAGGCGGCGCTCTAGTTAACAACATCACCAAATTTGATTACAACACACCACTAAAAGCAGTGCACCCGATCGGGGCCTTGGACACCTGTTTGCTGACTTCAATGTCACGGTTCTCAGGACACGCTCACCACGACTTTCTCCCTGATCCTGGCGCTTATTCACCGCACCTGGGATGCTATAGACAGCCCTTCGCCTGTCTTTGTCGTCGTCTATGTCCTTCACGAGGTGGACCGTCCCAGGCCCGCTCTGCAGGGCATCCGGGCATTGGGTCATGCACAGTCTCAAAGCGTTATGCACCTTCAATCTGACTCATAATCGTGCGAGGAACTTGCCCTGAGGGTGATTGCCGGCATCTTTGTTGCTAACCGTGGGCTGGCTCCGCAATGGTGGGGGGCTTGTTTTGGGGCTACGATCTCTGTATTCCCCTTCATATTTGCGCTCGCACGATGGACCGAGGTGGTGCGCATATATTCGGTATGGAGATCTAATGGTCTCTCCAGATAGGATCAGGTCATGCATTCCAGCCAATTTCAATATGCTCGCGATTCGAAAACTACTCGAGGATGTGTGCACATCACGTCTAAGCGACCCATCCAGCAACGAAGTCATCGATCTGCCCATGCCGCTTCACGGCGTCCTCCCAAGTCGGGTATTGCCCTTCGGTGGCAAAACGGTCATACAACAGTCCCACAATTTTTGACGGCAGTGGAGCAGTTGCGTCCCCCGGCCAGGACTCTTGTAGGTCAAATTCGACCTTCTCCACCTTGTCCGTCTCGAAATCATGCACCTCGACAACAATGCCGGCGGACACCATATGCAGCATGGAAGACGCCTGGTTCGTCACGCGTATCTCGCCCTTCTCGCCTGCGATGCTCCACACAAGCGCGGGCTCGCCCGGGAACGGGGGACTGCGGCGGAAGCGAAACAGCAGGGATGCGTCGCGCACGACGGTCGGCGACTCCGTCAGGCGTGCGGTGACGATAAATAGGTCCGGTACGTCGGACTTGATGGTGTCGGTGACGGTGTCGGTCGCGGGGTCGCGTACGGTGTTGATCGGACGTTGCAGCTGCGGCTGCGACTTGATCTCGGTGGCCTCGCCCAGAACTGCCTGTATCAGATCGAAACCTGCGAGAGATCGGGACCTAAGCATCTAAAGCTATTGTGGCGGCACATCACGCACCGTGGCCTCCAAAGATGGTGATGACATTCCCACCAACCGAGCGCTGGAGGAAATATTCGGCCCCTTTGGGCACTGAATCGCGTCCTTTGGTCGCGCCTGCGCCATGGAACTCCGTGCTCAGAACCTTCCCGATCCGCCCATCCTCGATCAGCTTCTTGAGCCGCAGCGTCAAGGGGCTAACACGGCCTTGCAGACCGACCATTGTCCGCCCACCACCATTTCGGGCGGCGTCAGCCAGTTCCTTTGCGTGCTTGGTATCTTGCGCTAGCGGCCACTCGACGTACACGTCTTTCCCAGCCTGGGCAGACGCGAGGACGGTCTCGTAGTGCCTGTCGACACGCGTGCTGCACACGACAAGCCGAATGTCCTTATCCGCCGCCAGTTCCGCGGGCGAACCGTACGCGCGCGTCTCGGCGGGGAGGTTGAAGTGCTTGATAGCAGCGAGAGAAGATTCTTTGGACGAGTTGAGAACGGCGACGATGGTGTAGCGAGATCGTCCGTGTGCGGAGAGCAGGTAGGGCAGGTGCGCAGAGACGGCCCACGACGAGGTCGAGTTCGCCGACAATCCGATGAGTGCAGTGGGGATGGGAGCCATGTTGATAGTAACGAACGTCCCCACTGACCTGCATTATAAGCAGGAGTCTCTGAGAGAGATTTATCAGCCGATTCGATATGAAGCTTTCTGCTTACTGAGCTGTGCCATATCGACGCGATTCCAATATGACTGCCGGAGTGAGCGGGAAACGATGGTCCTCGTACGTAGAGGTGCCGTGCGAATTAGTCACCACTACTTCACAATATTTGGCTGATTGGCCCAAGGGCTGTGCTTCGTTGTCTTAAATTGTACAGCGGTTTCTTGACCGGCAGCCGGATTTTACGCAGCACAAATCGATTTATCAAGGCGTGGTCAAAAAGGCTCCGGAAGGGCATCCGTGTATTTCTCTATCAAATTCCATCGCGAACAAAATTTCCGTTAGACGAGCAAAAAAATTAACATCTTCATCAATTATTCATGTAAATAATAGAATGTTGATCACGCAATTGGGAGATCCTTGAAATGAACTTGTCCTGAACCGTAAACGGTCCGTCACAGGTCAATCACATCTAATCACACCCAATGTCACACTCAACAAGACCTTCCATTACCTCTCATCGACCTCATCTTACATCTGTGGTGTCCTTCAGAAATCCGCCGTATCCTCCGAGCCACTTCGAAACTATCCTGTCTTGCAGGCGATCTCTCAACCCATAGCCTCGCCCCTCTTGCTGCACACCGACTACTGATGCACAACTTGAAAGATCACTCTGAACATCGAACCACTCGTTGATGAACCTAAATTTCTCCTGCCTTCTTTGCTGCTATGATTGGCCGTCAAAGCTGTAAATAACAGGGAAGTAGAGAATGTCAGTCCCCGACTATTGAGGGGCTGTGTATCGAGATTGGTCCTGCACGGAAGACGCCTAGACAACAGCGAGCCGAGGTGGCTGGTACCCTGGAAGACTTGCGCCCTAGGCGGGGTGCACGCTCCTGCCGCCCAGACCTTATACCGGTCACTTGTCCCTTGGGCCCACCCCTCACACCAGTTGATACCGTCGATAACGATATCACCATCTATGCTCACTAGAATGCTCGTTCACATTCACACCCGACCGCATACTTTGCGGCCCATACACAAGGCTTCGGAGACAGCGATCCAGACTTGCGTGTTCGTGTCTTCCTGAAAGGCGTCTCGATCGCTTGCACAATCTCCTCCGGAAAACTGTACTGAGCTGGAGATCCATCCACTTCTGCCCCAGGCGCTCAGATCAGAGGGTCACCGATCTATCCTCTAGGTCGATCTTTCGCTACCGATGTCCTGGTCATGCGTCCCCTGATACCTTTGTTCGGATAACTGGCCGCGGAATCCTTTCCGTCGACGAAGTCCGTCACCCTCCGTGTGTAGTACGAGGCTGGTCCAATGAACTCTGTGCCTGTCACCGTTCCTCGTGCTTGTGTGCTCGCCATTGATGGGGCTGGGAGATCGAGAGAGACGGGGCCCGGCGCGTCACTGCGGATATCGGACCGCTTCCGCGGCTCTTCGATGTTCAGCAGTGTGTCCTACGCGCAGGACACTTTCACCTGCTGCTGAAGCCGCATCCTCGCCACATCTGATATCGACTCGTAGCATTCAACATTCCTCACATTCACCAACGCTGCCATCGACGACGTTTACATCATACTTGTATCCTCGTTTGAACGCCTTTGCATGTATCTCATTAGCCATTACCTCGCACTGTCCCCCTGTTTTATTCTATCAATTCGTCTGCTCTGCACAGTGATCCCGCATGATGACTGCTCTACTGATGAACATAGCGAGCCGGTCTCATGCGAATTCGATAACCCAAGCTCAATTGTTCGTCGAGCTGCGATTGGATGTCCCCTTGGAACAGACTCGGGAAGCGGGGAGGTGTGGGACAAACAAGAACAAGCATCATTCAACCGCGATTTGCACCGTGACTTTGCTACCCAGACTATCGGTTTCTTACGCTATCCCCCTTGGGCCATCCTGAAAGCCGCCTAGGTGCATGGCACCACGCGCGCAAACCACGCCGACTCCGACTCAGGTGTTCCTCCCCAAAGCCGAGTTCCGCAGAATCGAAGACGATGTCTCGACTCAGCCCAGTGGCGTGCACGACAAGCAGGCGCAGAGTTTCGGATGTGCGTCTCCTGTGGACGATGTCTTTCGGTCGGGATACTAAAAAGACGCGTAGATAATGACTTTTCAGAGTTCGAGCGACCGGATTTGTATATCCGGCACATTGGTCAGTTTGCGCGCGAGTTTGCGGTGGTGCTTTAGCTGAAATGTCTACTCGCGGATTAGAACCTCTCGAGGAGGATCTTGAGCGGCAGGTTGAATATGACATGGATGAGCAAGGTGGGCCGGGTTGGTGCATTCGAGAATTGGAGAGTCATCGCGCGACAGACGAGGAATGGCTGAACGCTGTGAACGCGGAACGCAGGAGCGAGCAGATGGATCGAATTACGTGCGAGGTGTTTGAGGTCGTGATGGATCGACTGGAGAAGGAATGGTTCAACCTGGTGCGCATACCTCCGTTCCCGCTCCCTTTACTCGACCGACCTCGAACCCTGCAGTCTAAACACGTTAAGAAACCGGATTTCGGGCTCCCGTCCGAAGACTCTACTTGTGCGATCTGCGATGACTCGGAGGGAGAGAATAGCAATGCGATCGTGTTCTGTGACGGGTGTAATCTTGCCGTACATCAAGGTACGCTATGCGCTCTAGGTGCTGCCGTTGATTTTACACGACATGGAAGACTGCTATGGCATACCCTACATTCCCGAGGGCCAATGGCTGTGTCGAAAGTGTACCGTGTCACCCGAGAATCCTGTTGTCAGTGAGAGTCTTATGCGTCTTCTCCATCCATCTTATGTCTTGCAGTCTTGCATTCTATGCCCGAATGAAGGCGGAGCGTTCAAACAGACCGTGGACGGGGAATGGATTCATCTGCTGTGCGCAATCTGGGTGCCCGAGACTGCAGTTGCCAACGATGTGTTCATGGAACCTATCGTGGGGGTAGAGAAGATTCAGAAGCAGCGGTGGAAACTGGTGCGTTCTCATCATAGTGCGGAGATCAGGTCCCCAACGGCACGTTGATTACAGAAATGTCAAGAATGTGGTGTTCGAGAGGGTGCCTGCATCCAATGTGCCAAAACGCAATGCTTCGCCTCGTTCCATCCGACCTGTGCCCGAACGGCACGGTTTCTGATGCCCATGAAGAGCAGTGTCTCAGGTGTGGAGCCGACTGCGTTGACCTGCTTTTGCGACAAACACCTCCCCGTTCGTGCCCCTCGTATACTATCTCGATCACTACTCAATGAGCTGCAGAAAGGGCAGCAGGAGGTGCGCCGGGTCGCGTTGGAAGCGGCGGAGCAGGAGCAAGAGGACTTTGACAGCGCTAAATTGTCCAAGTCTGCTCGAGCGTATGCCAAGACGTACAAACCCGGTGCACCACTAGTGCCAGCGATCATCGTCGACCGTATCCTGCAGTACATCGCCAAAACGTCCGTCCGAAAGAAACCTGACTTTGTGACGTTGGTGGCCAGATACTGGAGTCTGAAACGGGAGGCCAGACGAGGGGCTCCGTTGTTGAAGCGGTTGCATTTGGAGCCGTGGACGGCGAGTAATGGAGTAGATATGTCCGGGGAAGAAGAGAAAGCCATCAAGTTGGAGGTGAGTGTGGTGGATTTCATCACTGATTCGGGGTCCTATGAAATGAGCAGTACCTCAAACGGATCCGGGACGACCTGGAACAGCTCAGGAATCTCACCGAGCTTGCACGCAAACGCGAGAGTCGCAAGTTGAAGCAAGCGGAGGTCATCCGAGATACACTAGGGACGGCCTTCTGGCCTCACGTGCCGCTCTTGAAGGCGCTGCTCACTCGTATCGCCAAGTGAGCGATGTGCGACCATTTTCATTACAGCTGAACCAACCCGTGGCAGGATGGATTCTGCCAGCTATTTCTCAAGTCCCGTTGACAGGACCGAAGTCCCGGACTACTTTGATGTCGTCAAGAACCCGATGTGCTGGAGCGAGATTGAGAGCAAGATCCTGAGTGCTACGTACTGGGATCTGCAAGCTTTTATCGTGTGTATGCTGCACTTGTTGTGGCCAGAAGCTCATAGCGTCGACAGACTGACGTTTACCTGGTCCTGGACAACGCGGTCTTGTACAACGCAGTCACCAGCAACATCCACAGAGCCGCACTGCGCATTCGAACTTCATTGGGACCCATCTTCACTGACGCTGCCAAGCTTTGTACTTCCCCTAACGTCGCTGCCATGGAAGAAACATGGGAACGACCCCTGACTGGAGACCTGGAACCCCCACTCGAGGTCCTCGATCTGCTTTCGTCGTCCGAAGTTATCCGGGATGAGACGGAGCTGATCCTTTCATCTGATCCGATCATTTCTCTTTTGAACTTTGAGCTGGAGAAGCGGAAACCTCCGCCGCCTCCGCCACCGACGAAAGCCGAGCTTGAGGAGGAGAGGAGAATTCAGAGGAATGCAAAGGAAAGGGAGCGGCGACGGCTGGAAAAGGAACGCAAGGACCAAGTTGCGGCTGCCCGACTGGAGAAGAAAGCTCAGCGGGAAGCCGAGGAGAGCTCGGCACCGCCACGAACCAAGGCACCACAACTGCCACTCGAATCTCAGCCACAACCGGTCGAGTCGGTCTCTGCTCCGGTCCGGTTGAGACGACAGAGCGCCACGGAGGGCGATATCCCGCTGATTGAAGAGGTTGACAACCAGAAGTCGTTCGATATGTTCAACGAAGGCTGGATCCTGACGGGACAGCGGCGAAATGCCAGGCAACTTCCTACTCCTAGTGCCCCGCCGCCCCCGTCCAAGAAGCGGAAACGCGTCGGTTCGTTGCTCCCCCTGCAGCTGACGTTCGTGCACGTGACCGAATATGACAGACAGCAAGACACCCGGGCTATCGACAAGCTTGAGCACTCCTGTGTCTGAATCGTTCCCGGAAGAGCCGCCGATCGCGAGTAGCTCAAGGCCACGTGCGTCGCGGCAGCAGCCGGAGCAGATCGAGATTCCGCCGCCGAATGTCATCCGCATGGAAGACGGGCAGGTCATCGTCGAGCACATCGACACGCCGCTCATCCGCAAAGCCAAGAGCAAGAAGGCCAAAGAGGCACGTGCGCTGTTGAAGGCGAGCGCTTCCCAGCCCGCGGCGGCAGATGAGCCCGCGTCGCTGGGGCCGTCTGTTCCCTTGTCGACCCCGGCCACGGACGATGTCGATGCCGAGGGCTCGTCGGACCTGAGTCCCCTCAGCGATGCGGTCACGCCGGGTGTTCCGGCCATGGGCCCCGCGGATTTCGACGTGGCCGAGTCGATGCAGAACGATCCGTCGGAGCTGTCCCAGGCCGATCCGCAAGCTCTCCTCGCTGCTGGACCCGAATCTCTCTCTGCTGCTCCGGAGCCGAAAACGCGCCGCCAGCAGGGTCACTTTACTTTGGCGCCGGGAAAGTCGATTGAACCGATGACGCTTGGTGCGTAGACTTGTTTCTTGTTTGATTGTTTTCTGCATCTCTAATGATGTATGCAGTGTGGGCCCAATACTGTGCGTACTCTCTCTGTCTGGATCGGGTCGCGCGGTGCGCTGACGGCTGATTAGCGACGTTTCCGTTCTTCCCGGGGATCATCATTCACGAAGACGACGACAGGATACCCCTCAGCATCCACTCGCTCGCGCAGAAGGTCAACAAGGACAAGGCCAAGAAGGAGAACTACCACTTCGTCCAGTTCTTGGACAACACGCGGTCATGGTGAGCGTGTTTCTGGACTTGCATGTGCCTTCTCGCCGACCTGGAATGTTTTTGTAGGCAGTATGTCCCGATGGAACGTCTCCGTATGCTAGGGGAGCTCCCAGGTAGGACTGACTTCTCTTCTAGATCGTGCATATCGTGCCTGAGGCCTGATTTTCCGTTCCCCAGAATTGGACAAGGAGATGTTGACCGGCAAGCGGCCCGACCGCAGCAAAAAAAAGTCGTCTGCGAAGGAAGTCCAGGATCTGAAAAAAGCGTACCAGTAAGTAGGCAATCCACCCGTTGCCGATTCTTTTCTTGAGATCGAGTCGACTGATTACTATTATCTTTCATCTGCAGAGCGGCGATGGAGGAGATGGCGGAGGAGGACCGAGCCAAGTTTGACAATCTGACGGCGTCGTGATGTTATCTATCATTCGTGTTGTATTTCTAGTTGTAGCGTAGCCTGTTTTTCTTCTCTTTTCTTTGCTTCCGTAGTGTGTATATCTCGTTGCTTTCGACGCTATTTGTTTCTACTGCCGACCCATGTGGCTCGAAACTTGCCACTTTTGAACCGCCTATCGCGGAGATCCGCGGCGGCCTAAACCGTGCCTCGATAAAAAAAAAACTTGTGGGGATCCTCGATGGTCGCCTCTGAACACGCTTCTGGGGCGGGTTCAGCGGGTTTTGTGTATCACAGCCGGTGCTCTGATGCCTGCTTCGAGTGCAGATTAGATTTTCGTTGAACAGGTTCTTTAATTTGGGCGTGCGATTCTCGGAGCGAGGGCATCGCTACTCCCGGACCGCGTCGAGATCGCGGCTGGCCCGTCCCCGCGCATCAGAGGCACTCGATAAGCAGATATGATTTGTGACACCGGTGTTTTCGACACACCGCTTGCTTCGCTGAATTCCATGCGATAATCCAGTGATGATGTTGCATGGATGATGGCTATGCTATGTACGACCGGCCGCCTACTGGCCATCCGGGCACGCGGAGCGCCCAAACTCGATGTTATCGAAGTACGGGCCCTTGTGGTTGGTCACATTCGACGACAGCAACGAGTTGCCCTCGGCGCAGTTCTTGTTGTCCTGCCCGGGACACGTGACGAAGCTCTGCTGCGTCGCGTCGGTGATGTGCACCTCGCCGCTCGAGTGCTGGAAGCCGAGGAACCGCGGCGGCACGGTCGGCACGGGGTCGTGCTGGTTCGTCATGAAGCTCACCCCGACCTGCCCGTCCAGGAAGTCCGCCCACGCCTGGTTCCCGCCCCGCGGCAGCCCGAAGCCCGTCACGGACACCTGCACGGAGGGGTCCACCGCGCTCTTGAGGAACGCGCCCGTCATCGTCGCGAGCGCGGCGCCTGGATGGAAACACGCGGTGAGATGGCGCGCGCGTGGGGGGGCGCACGGTTTATGCGCTATGCGAGAGACGTACCGAGACTGTGGCCTGTCACGGCGACCTTCTTGGACCCGGTCGACGCCAGCGCCTTCTGCACACCGGCGAGCAGGCCGTCGGCCGTCCGCTCGAACGTCTGCTGGAACCCGCTGTGCACTTTGATGCCCTCTGCATGCGGTTTCAGTGCCAGTCAGATCTGGCGTACGGCGATGATCCACTCACTGCCGGCTTGCGCGGGGAATCGCGTCGCGTTGAGGTCGACGAGGCCGAACTGGACATCGTTGAGGATGGACAGACTGCAGATGTCATTCGAGGCGTGAAAGGCAGCGAAACTAGGACGACGCGTACATGCTCTTCGAGTCCGTTCCCTCGTGGGCCACAACGAGGCTGTTGTCCGACGCGTCATGGGCGATGAAATCTGTGCGCCCGGTCACGGTGAGTGTCGGCCCGGCACTCCGGCCCACACGACTCACAAAGAGGGATGCGGCCTTGGTCTGCGCAGACATGGATGAGGCCCAGACACAGCAACACTATAACAAGAGTGCTGCTCACCTCCACCGGCTTGCAGGAAGGTCACGTTCTGCAGCGCCTGGCACGGCGCGCCGCACGTCCAGTTGCTGATCGACGCGCTCGAGCAGTACGCGACGCGGGCGAACTGCGCGGGGCGCAGGAGCGTGGACTCGACGTTCGCGAGGGTCAAGGCCGTCGTGCTGCCCGTCGCGGGGCTCGCGGTGCCGCCGCCCAGGCCGAACAGCGGGGCGCCGAGGGCGGGGTGCGCCAGGGCGGAAAGGAGAGGAAGCAGAGCAGCGAGCATGGTGAAGAGAACGAGTAAAAGTACGGGATGGCGCTGCCACCGAGAAGGAACAGAAAAACAAAAACAGACGGGAGGGAGGGAAGAGAAAGAGATGCTCGAGACGATGTGCTCGGATTGCCGGAGATTTAATATGTGGGTTTCAGATAGTGATGCGAAGCCTCAGTGACAGCAACCGACACAACGTGCCAGCGTTGGGCTGGCGACCGGACTGGCATAGAAGATGGTCGAGGGTCTCGGGCGCTTGCGTGTCAGAGGTCGTTGGATCACAATCAGGCTCAGCCGGCGCAAGCGATCTGGGCGCAAGGAACGTTTCGGACTCGGAAGGAGGTGGAGTTTGTCGGACCCTGGTCACCGTGGAACTCCGATCGCTTCCGACCATCTTATCGATAAGATGAGAAGAGTAATTGATCTGCAAGGTGTAATCGGGGAAGTTTTCCTCGTGATTCTCATGTGCGCGGCTTCTCCGCCTTCGCGTACGAAATAAGCTCGTCCTGTCCGAAAATACGTAGTGTACCTTTCTCCAGAACTCCTTTCGTGCATTCTGGGTCACTTCTAGCCCATTGATCGCCTGTGATCGCCTCTCCCCGGATCCGGAATGAAGCGATTTGATCTGTCACAATATATAAGTACGGCGGGTCGAGTCGCGTGCCGGCCCTGCTTTAGATTTGCCCCATGCTATTCTTCCGGTCCAAAAACGCGCACCACGACGAAGGGAGCCATTCGAATGACCAGCAGCTGGAGGTCCTGCTCGATCACGAGTATCTGTTCCTGAGCGGCACAGGCCTGGATGTCGAACCCGCGCATCTCTCCGGCCGCGTTGTGCTGAACCTGTCCGAGCCGACGACCATCCGCTCGGTGTCCCTCCAGTTCCGGGGGAAAACGTACCTCTCTGTGCCCCCGCAAGACTCGCAATCGACGAACAATCCCCCCTCGACGTATGTCCTGTGCAAGCACCACTGGTCTTTTCTCGAAGGGCGGCACAAACACAGCTACACCCTCCAGGCCGGGCGCCACATCTTCCCCTTCCAGCTTCTTCTCGGCGGATCGCTGCCCTCGAGCATCGTGACGGACGCGTTCGGGGGCGCGTTCGTTTCGTACAAGCTCAAAGCCACTGTGGAGCGCGCCGGATTCAGCCTCAACCACAACATCACCGCGACCGCGCCGGTGTACATCATCCGCTCCCTCAGTGCCTCCGCGCTCGAGTACCAGCAGACGCTCGAGATCGAGCACCCGTGGGCGGACAAGCTGCTGTTCTCGATCGCGATCCCGCACAAGGCCTGGGCGGCGGGCGACGACCTGGTGGCGCTGCTGAAGGTCTCGCCGCTCGTCAAGGGGGTGGGGGTGTTGAGCATCACGACGTCGGTCAAGGAGACGACGAAGTTGTACTCCCGGGCAGAGTCGGTCACCCGCACGGTGGCGAGTGTGACACATGAGATTGTTGGAGGGAAGGCCGTGGTAGCGAAAGAGCCGGTGGATCGGAAGGGCAAGATGCCCCACTTTTCTCTGCATCGGCTGGGCAGGTCGACCCCGGAACCGGACGAGGGCGCGGGTCCTAGTAATAGTAGGACAAGTCCTCGTTCCGAAGTCGCTCGGGATCCTGCTCAGAGCGAAGATGACATTGTGCGTTCACGTTCCCCGATGCCATTTCCGCTTATTGATATCCTTCCAGGTCACTGCCCTGCACCTGCAACTTGCGCCCCATCTTACGCCAAGCCACGCCTTCAGTCCAATCACAGTTTCGCATGTCATCCACTGGAGCCTTCTTGTCACGAACGCCGATGGGCACCTGTCTGAGCTGTACTGCACATTGCCCATCATGCTGATGGACGCGCAACTTCTGCATCAAGTCCAAAAACACACGCGCTTCGCACGTCGACTGCTCTTCGTCGGGCCAGACGATAAGCCACAGCAGTCCGAAGAAAACGGGGAGCTCCCCAGCTACATCGCGCACGTGCGCGACCGAGTGGCGAACATGTTCATCACCGACGGCAACTCGCTGCGGGTGACGAATCCCTGGATCCACGCGGGAGTCAGCCCGACGCTCGTCGACGGCGAGGACCCCAAATCCTCGGGGACGGTCACGCCCCTGCAGCTAGTGTCCGACACGAACGACGCGTACGTGCCCGACCCGGACCACCCGGTCTTCCTCGACTGGGTCAGCGCGGAGCTGCTCATCTCGCACGGCGTCTCGAAGATGCACACGGACTCGGAGCCGCCCAGCGGCACCCACACGCCGCGCGACCGAGAGCCGGCCGTGCCGCCGCTGCCGCCAACACCCTCGGCAGCGGCGGCGGCGGCGGCGGCCCCGCTCGCGGCGGACGGGGCGCGGATATACACGCACGACAGCCCCGCCAGCCACGAGCGCTCCGGGATATTCACGGCCAGCATGGAGCCGACGAGCGCGCTCTCCCATCCGTACTGGCTGCTCTCGCACAGACCGGATCCTCACGCGGCCCGTGTCTCGAGCAACGACCTCCAAAAGCGCGTCCGCGAGATCTGTGTGCCCGCGCCGCAAGTTGGCTCGTCGTTGCTGCATCGGGCGTTTACGGAGGTGCCGGATTACGACGTCGCGTTGAAGGGCTTCCTAGGTGGGGTCCCGCCGCTGACCAGCTCGATAGGCCTGCCTTCTTATGAGGAGGCGGAGCGGGCTGGGTCGCCAGTACGGACCGGATCTCCGGCATAGTCAGAGTGTATATGTACTTAGCCTTATTTTCCTTGGGGTCTGGGTGTTATCCATGACAGCAAGATTGAATATCTTGCCGGCCAGTAAGATTCATCGGCCGACTAGCTCAGCTGGTTAGAGCGTCGTGCTAATAACGCGAAGGTCTTGGGTTCGATCCCCACGTTGGCCATTGTTTTTGCTCTCTATCTTGCTCTCACACACACACACATAGAGCCTGCCTGCAGAGTGGCCCTAGGATCCTCCGCCTTGTCAAGGACACAGTCAATGACTAAGATTGGTGAAGGGTCTCTGTAAAAGCCTAGGTACAGTGAAAAAGTGCCAGGACTGGGGAAAGTTCAGACTCATATGAAGCATTTAAGTTCCCGTCAACTATATGACGAAGTCCCGTGGCAACGCACGGGTTACTGCTAGTCCAACTACAAATAGCATCGATGATACTGATCAATTCCTACATCAATTACTATATTGGGAAGTAAAGTTATTCTACCAAACAGTAGTGCTCTCACAGCAGTTCCCCTTGTGCTATTCTCCTACAGAATGTTAAGATTTGGGGAGCCCTATTGGCAGACAGATAAACTAGACCAATATGGGTCATATCAGGTCCGGCTTGTTTTGGGTTGCATTATCTCTGATATTCCAGCCACCTATTTTCAGCTCTCTTTACGTGAAATTAGGTTCAATGAGAGAGAGCACAATAATGTACCTGTTGATTTACTTATTGAATATTGCAGATAAGACAAAGTGCTGTGATATCAACGTCGACGGATGCCCTTTCGGAGCCTTTCGACCGCGCCTTGATAAATCGATTTGCATCGAGTGAAATCCGGCTGCCGGTCAAAAAAACCGCTGAACAATTTACGACAACTAAGCACGGCCTTTGGGCCAATCAGGCCGATGTTGCAAAGTAGTGGTGACTAATTCGCACGCCACCCCTACATACGAGCACTGCGACTTCACGCTCATTCAGACAATCATATTAGAATCACGTCAATAGGACACAGCTCAGTAAGCAGAACACTTCATATCGAATTGGCTTATGAATCTCTCAGAGACTCCCTGCTTATAATGCTGGCCAGTGGGGACGTTTGTTACCATCAACATGGCTCCCATCCCCACCGCACTCATTGGATTGTCGGCGAACTCCACCTGGAAATGGTCGGGCTCTGCGCACCTGCCCTACTTGCTCTCCGCACACGGACGATCTCGCTACACCATCGTCGCCGTTCTCAACTCGTCCAAAGAATCTTCCCTCGCTGCTATCAAGCACTTCAACCTCCCCGCCGAGACGCGCGCGTACGGTTCGCCCGCGGAACTGGCGGCGGATAAGGACATTCGGCTTGTCGTGTGCAGCACGCGTGTCGACAGGCACTACGAGACCGTCCTCGCGTCTGCCCAGGCTGGGAAAGACGTGTACGTCGAGTGGCCGCTGGCGCAGGACACCAAACATGCAAAGGAACTGGCTGACGCCGCCCGAAATGGTGGTGGGCGGACAATGATTGGTCTGCAAGGCCGTGTTAGCCCTTTGACGCTGCAGCTCAAGAAGCTGATCGAGGATGGGCGGATCGGGAAGGTCCTGAGCACGGAGTTCCATGGCGCAGGCGCGACCAATGGACGCGATTCAGTGCTCAGAGGGACCGAATATTTCCTCCAGCACTCGGTTGGTGGGAATATTGTCACCATCTATGGAGGCCACGGTGCGTGATATGTCGCCATAAGAGTTCTGGGATGCTTAGGTCCCAATCTCCCGCAGCGTTCGATTTGATTCAGACAGTTCTGGGCGAGGCCACCGAGATCAAGTCACAGCCACAGCTGCAACGTCCGATCAGCACTGTACGCGACCCCGCGACCGACACCGTCACCGACAACATCAAATCCGACGTACCGGACCTATTTATCGTCACCGCACGCCTGAAGGAGTCGCCGACCGTCGTGCGCGACGCATCCCTGCTGTTCCGCTTCCGCCGCAGTCCCCCGTTCCCGGGTGAGCTTGCGCTTGTGTGGAGCATCGCAGGCGAGAAGGGCGAGATACGCGTGACGAATCAGGCGTTTTCCATGCTGCACATGGTGTCCGCCGGTATTGTTGTCGAGGTGCATGATTTCGAGACGGACAAGGTCGAGAAGGTCGAATTTGACCTAGAGGAGTCTTGGGCGGGGGACGCAACTGCTCCGCCGCCGTCAAAAATCGTGGGACTGTTGTATGACCGTTTTGCCACCGAAGGGCAATACCCGACTTGGGAGGACGCCGTGAAGCGGCATGAGCAGATCGATGACTTCGCTGCTGGATGGGTCGCTTAGACGTGATGTACATGCAACATGTGCAACATGTCGACAAACAAACATATTGAAATTGGCTGAAATGCTTGACCTGATCACATCTGGAGCAGACTTATTACATGGGCGCGGCAAACGGGCATGTCCCGCCAAGCGGAGTTTGAATTTCGCTTGGCGGGCTTTTGATGGCGGGCATGGGCATGGGCATGGCTTGTGCTCAACTTTTTGAGTCTGAGGACGTTGTTTGGTGTCGGACGAATGCTGCGGACATCGCGCTGTCACTGCGTTAGTCGCTCTGCGATCAGTCGAGTCCAGATCGTCACTGGTGGTGATGTAAGGCTTCCCACACTAATTAATCTTCCTCGTCGCCGTCAGTGGCTTCAGAATAAGATCGATAGACTAATATAGCCATTCTACGCGTCAATGAACAAAATAACGAATTAGTTCCTTTTGGTACCACGCCCCGCCCTCCCTTTTTTCTTCGTCACTGTTGTCACAGTTGTCGTCACCTGGCGCATTCTCTTCGCCCTTTTTGCTGGCCGCGCTTGTTCTGCGCCAGCGCCCAAGTCGGTCTCGTTGTCCTGCGCGCGTGCAGCCGCATTCCGAGCTCTGGGCTTCGGTCTTGGCCTCGGTTTCTGTTCCCCGACCTGTTCTTCGTCCGTCGCGTCTCCGGGAGGCAGCACCACAGGAATTGGATGGACAGGATTCTCGGCTTCCAAATTAGCAGAACCCGCCACACGATAATAGAACGGATCGATCATGTCAGCACTGTAGATGGAGTGTGACCGCCTGAACGCTGCGATGTCAGCGCCATAGGCGCGATCTGCTCTGCTCTTCCTAATGCCAAACAGGACAACCTGCACTTCATCAACTTCGCCCCATCTTGACTGGATCATATCCGCGCTGAAGTCAGCAAACGTAGATCCTCCAAGATCCAACGGCTCGCCCAATTCTCTCTGCATGTGAAGCAGATGGAGCAGGACGAATCCCACACTGTTGATCCGGTCACGACGCAGAGTATAGACAACATCTCTGAGAGTCGGGTGACGCATAAGTGCCGCCAGCGCATCGCCAACCAGTTGGTCCAACTCCGCTGTAAATCTGAGTCGCAGCGTGTCCCGGATCCATAAGTGGGAATCGGCCTTCTTCTTTTTCTTGCGTGCGACATCCTTGACTTCCTGCCAGGCTTTCACCACTGGATGAACATCCATGTCCCATTCATGGATCACCTCCGCGATACCGTCTAGAGCTCCAGAAAAGATGCGGGACAATTCAGAACCTTCGTGGACTTCGGATGCGGGATTATGGTAGAAAGGAATGCGGATTTGTCCGATCTGGAGAAAAAATCAATTCAAACTATCCCCGACACGAAAGAAACTGACCTTGTTTTCAGGAATATGGAAGCTACCAAGCAACCTCTGGTAATAAATAACCGATTGACGCGGCAAGTAGAAGGTCTGGCTTGCATCGGGTGCACCGGGGATCCCATCGACGTAGCGAGACCAGTAAAATTCGTATTCTTCCCGCTGGCCCCGCCGATCAATGTGCCGTTGGATTAGAACTGCGGGGAAATATCTGTTCGCCACGTCAAGAGGCTCGTTGATCGAAGGAAATGCAACCGCGAGAATCGAGCCGGGACGGGGAACATCACATTCCTTGCACAAGAAACGAACTTGATCAGCTGTCCAGTCAATGGAACTATTGAGGCACTCGACATGAGACCACGTCCGGCAAGATCCTCCGCACTGAACGATGTCGGTTCCCTCTGCTTTCGCCGAGTCGTCTGCATCCTCTAGCTCCTCACCGCAGCCGTCGCATCGGAGGTGATTCAGGCTATCGCTCCCTTGAGAGCTTGGGACTTCGGGACGAGGCCCAGCATCAAGATCGTCAGAATCCCAGTCCGAGTCGCCCTTCAGAGCGGAGTCGTGCGTCTCCAATGTGGTAATTGTGGGAAGGCGAGGAGGAACTGGTCGTCGAGGACTCGGAGCAGGAAATGGAAGTGCTTGGCCCCTTCCATCCGCAGGTGAGGATTCCAGCGTGTCTAGAATCATCCTCTCGATATCTCCGCTCGACTCTGCTAGCGGCTCCGAGCTCTGACGGTGAACCAACGCATCAACTTCGAGTTGATCTATGACCGATTCCTCGTCCTCGTCCATAGGTTCGAATACGTGAGGGGTGATCGAGGTTTGGAGTTGTGGAGGATCAGTGTTGGTGCGTGCAATGTGAATATCCGCTCGTTTGGTCGCAGGAGATGGACTATCCCGAATATAATCTGGGATCTCGGACGGAATGCGAGAAAAGTCAAGTGCAATATCCTCCAAGCTCCGTGTAAATCGCTGAACATTATATTGAGAGACGATGGGATGAATTGAATTGAATTATTGACTCACGAATTCATCAGTCGTGCGGACATAGAGCGCGTAGACCGTGTTGGAATCGATCTGCTCTATGTCAGGAGGTCTGCCGAATTCGCGGAGGATTCCGCCATCGGCAGTGTCGTCATAATTGTACACCGCTTCGTTCATGACCACCAAAGTTGTAAAGTGGCCGACTTCCCTTGAAAGTCGATGGTATTTCACCATTGCGGCCATTTTATAGGCAACAGCCCCAATCTGGAACTCGTGCAAAAATCGAGGTGCAACACATTCCACACCTTTCCATGTCCACCGGCCATTTTTGTCCATCATCTGATCGAGTTGAGTGGCGCCAATACGGAGGAGTGTCGGAAATTCGATGGTAATTGAGGTAACCATAGCAGTGCATTCGGTTTCCTCTCCACACGGCACAGCGGTCATCTTATGCAGGGGAGGATGCGTGGAGCCCCTGCTCAGATCGCGAGGGATGAAATGCGCAAGATAGTTCGAAATCGTTGGGGCACCGTATTCTGGGTCAACGAAAGATTGTGCAATCACCATATCATCGAAATTGAGACCGAATTCCGAGATCGGGTGCACAAACTGAGAGATATCATGTTGCGGCCCAGATGCGCAGGTCAGATTCACTCGGAACGATAATCCAAAGTGACTTTGGACGGTTAAAGACGTCTCCATCTGCGCAAACCGTGAGATGTATGAAGTTACTTAATGAATCAAGGCCCTGGCTTACCCGAATCATCTGGTTCAGCCAAGTCCGAGCACACCCTTGTTGACCTTCCACTAGATTCCCTCCGTCCCACCGTCGATGGAGAAGCAACTTTGCTCGTGATTGTCCAAAGAGTCCAATTTTCCGATCCATGTATACAGGATGGGGACCCAGCGCAGGAGAACCACAGAGAAAACCAGCGAGGTAATGAGAACACCCCGCTTGAAAAAATCGTGGCTTCCGTCAGTCGGAATGCCGTGTCGCCCCGTTTCAATCTCCAGAGTTTCTTCAGTCCAGGAATAGATCTGATCACGCAGCAAGACGTCCCGCATGAAAGGTGTCTGCATGACGACATATTGTCTGTTGATGAACTCGGATTTGATGATGAACGAAGTCGGAAACATCTCTTCGAACTGAGAGACAGTGTCCAGTAGATCAAAGCCAATCTGTCTGGCTTTCCCGGGTACCACAAGTCCATTACGAACCCTGCTCTTCTCGACCTCGAAACGAGCTTTACGAGGATCTCAAAGGACAGCGGTGATATCTCCAATTGATGTCTGGTTGGGCTCTGCCGCGACGCGAAGTTGCTGTGCTGTTTGAGAAGGATTGTGGCGAACAAGAGTATCGAGCTGGCGTTCATCAGCCGCAGTGAGTTTTGTGGTGGGAGGCCTCGGATGTTCGTGATCCCCATAGTGTTGTCCCACAACGTGCTCAACATGGTCATCATCTTCGTAATAATAGGTGATCCAGGTGGCGTCGCACTCCATGAGACTGAGATTGGCCTTGCAGTGCCTGCATCGCTCATTTTGCTGGGCGGCTCGAGACGCGTTGTCTTTCTTCGGGCGAATAGGGCGAGAGGGCTTTCCGTTCCCATCACGACACACACAGATTAGGACACCGAGACAACTCCGTTTATTGCACTGGTACGCATAGTGTGGCACTTCGTTTTTTCTGCTCCCCGACGACCTCCAAGCCCATCCCTGATCGCTCCACTCCTCTGGCATCTCTCTAACCGGGAAATCGACCTTGAAGTTGCCATTTGGAAAGCGCACGGAGGGGATCGCAGCGTTGTCAGGGAGGGTCTCGATTCGCGAGCTTGTAGTGGCGGCAACACCCGTTTGAGCGGAGGCTTGAGTAAGAGCTGGTGCCATCGGAAATGGAGACATGCCCGGATACGGGAACGCAGGATACGGCGGCAGGAACGGATGTGGAGGATATGGCGGCAGGAACGGATGGGGAGGGTAGCTGAATGGAGGGGGTGGATACATCGGCCAAGGGGGAGCATGATCTTCGTAATTCAGTATGCAAAACAGAAATAGATAACTAAAGTCACTCACATTGAGCCGGATATCCAGTACTGAATCCTCCCCCAACGCCGATGGATTGTTCCGCAGTGGTGGATCCATCAGCTCCACCATGCACTATTTGAGGGGCAATACCCGGCTGACCAGCTGAGGTCCCAAACGCGAAGACAGCCGGTGCCGAAGAGGGAGGCAGCATATATTGATTTTGGGGACCAGGAAGACTCCCAGGAGTCGACGGATGCGCAGGATATGGCATTTGCCCTGAGTACCAAGTCAGAAGCCGTGCGACACAAAACTGTATTGACGCACCGTAGAAGGAGCCCCACGGATGGAATCCGGGAGCGAATGGTGGCTGAAAGGTATTGGTTTGAGGTTGTGCTGGAACGGGCTCCGGAGCTGAGCTCCACCCGAAGAAACGCCTCAATCGATCGAAGATCATGGATGGAAGCAAGAAGAAGCACAGCCATCGAACGATTGACCTCGGCGATCTACAATGCTGTGTCGTTCATACTTCCGGTGGGCGCCACTTGACAACTCGTTGATAGCAGAGGCGGGCCGACACTAATTACAACGTCTGTAACTGTAGAAATGCCCGCAAAAGCCTATTCTCTCAATGACACGCCCGTTTGCGCCTGCACAAGCCCGCTTGTCTGATCACATCAAACGATCAGGCATGCCATCACGCAAACGGGCATGCGCTCGATTCCGTGCACTGCACGGGCTCATTGGCCAGTCCGGGAGTCATAGTGACTACATGCAGTGTCTTAGGAACTCAAATCACGGTGGCGCGGCAACATATAAGCTCGGAATTTTAGCAATCGAGATGCGGACGCATGCCCGTTTGTCGGATGGGATCAATTTGGACTTCGGGCCCAACAAGTACACAATGTAGCCGTGTGCATTGAGCGATGGAGGTGTAGGGGTGATGTGTAGTCCTAAGCCATGGATCTGAGACCTTTTGGTGCCTTCGAGATGCTTCCTTTTTCCCGAGAGTCAGTCATCATTGACTGTGTAGAGGAAAGCTCAGCGGGGAGGTCAATCACATCTCCTCAGAGCCCCGTAGAACAATCACGACGTGAAAAGCCCTCATAATTCCGTGTCTGAATCGAGCTACAACACTCCTACGCGGTCCGATTTGCTGAAAGCCAGCGCGAAGCAGCATCAGTAACGTAGCGCGTGGCAGATCTCGTGAGACATCATTGCTAAGGGCATTGGTACGCCTGAGATGCTTAAATACAGCCTATAGGGAAGCCTACAACGATTGAATACAATTTATTTATGGCCTGAGGCATGCCAAAATGTTGGCTTGGCATGCCCGCAAACGGGCATGCATGCCTGATTGCATCAATTTCAAGCCAAACCTGTCAAATGCCCATCAAATGCCCGTTTGCGCGGGGGAATGCCCGTTTGGCATGCCCAAAACGTCGGTCTCCATCTGGAGAGACCAGTGGATCTCCATACAGAATAAATGCGCATCGCCTCGGTCCATCGTGTGAGTGCAAACATGAAGGGGAACCCGGAGATCATAGCACCTCAAAACATGCCCTTCCTCCATTGCGGACCCAGCCCACGGTTAGCAACAAAAATGTCGGCAATCACCCTCAGAGAAGGCTACCCTCTGGGACCGCGCACGACCCTCTCTGAGCTCTCTCTGAGCTCTCTCTCTCCATCTCTCTCTTCAGACATCGCCCTTCTCTGCCCTTCTCTGACGAGTCATGACCCCATTTACAGAAGACCGATATGATATAACAGCAGATGATACAATACAATAAACTATGTACAACCCCCTCAGTGCTACCTTTCCGTCCTCTCGCTCGTCCGCTCGACAATGGACGTCCCATCCCGGAACCTCGTCCGGAAGAGAACGTTGGCATTCGTGAACAGGCCCTCCTTCAGCGAGACGACGATGAACTGAGAGCCCTTGAAGCGCGTGCGGAAGAGCTGCCCGATGTGCTGGGTGTGCGACAGATCGAGCGCCGCGTCGATCTCGTCCAGGATGTACATCGGGGCCGGCTTGAACTGCAGCAGCGACATTATCAGGGACAGCGCGATGAGCGAGCTGGTAATGTGCGCGTGTGCGTGTGTGAATCAACGTGGACATCATAGAATTCAGCGCGAGCACGCACCGTTGCCCTCCACTCAGCTCCGTAAGACTCTGCTTCCACACTTTGCCCAACTGCACCTTAACCTCGAGTCCATCCATCAGATCTTGGCCGTCTGGCGGCTGCAGCTTGGCAAAGTTTCCGGGCAAAAGCTCAGCGAAGATCCCGCCAAAATCGCTGCAAGGTATTAACCAACTGGCCAGGTAGACGACATGGTAGTTTGACGCACCCGTCGACTTTCTTCCAGGTCGTCTCCAGCGCCTCTCGCTTGAACCGGTCCAGTTCCGCGATGGTGTACTCGATCTTTTCCTTGTCTTTGACCACTGTGCTCAGCATCTTCTTCAAACTGGACTCCCGCTTCTCCACACTGTGAAATGTCAGCTATCCAGGACACTTTACTGCGGTAAGAACATACGTATCGATCATCGCAAGGACCTTCGGATTGATCGTTTTCTTCATGCCCTTGCTCTTTTGCATCAACTGCTCCACTTGAGTCTTGAGCTCGACAGGATTCGTCCCGGCAAAGTCAAAAAGCCCTCCCGGCTTCCCGAATTGGCTGCCCAAGTTCAAACCAGACACACTACAGACGGCGGCGGACGCACTCTTTCTCGACCTGGATCCAGTCATGCTCCTTCTCCAGCTGCGCGATGTAGTTCGAAGACGCTGTGATGTCCTTCTTGAAGCCCGTTATCTGAATACCGATCTTCTGGATGACGAGATCGATATCGTGCATGGCCGTTTTCCTCGCTTTGATGACTTTGTCGAGCTCCTGTAGCTCCTTATCGAAGCGCTTGAGGGTCGCGCGTTCTTCATTTAGCTTTCGGGACGCTTCGTCGTAATCCCTCTGCCTCAGTTCAGAGCGCACGTCCCCGACACTATTTAAAGCCACGGACCTGTTTCTTGGCAAGCTGTTTCTCAAGCTGCTCTAGCTCTTTCTTCAACGTGTCCACGCTATCCATTGCTTCTTGCACCGATTCCTTCGTGCTCTCAATGTCAGCGTCCATTTGCTCTGGCGGCTAGACTCAGCCAAATTCACAAGCATAGCAAGAGTTGTACTCACCGAGCTCGAGCCTGGCAGTTTGATCCTCCTTCTGCTGGAGCTTGAGCCCGACGGAATGCTTCTGCAGGGCCGACTTCTGCTTCGAGATCTCGGCTTTAAGCTCGTCGATCTTGCCCTCTTTGTTGTTCTTGAACTCGTCCATGTCGCGTTGGAGCTTGACACACTCGGCCTCGGCCTGCTTCTGTCGGTCCTGCGCAGATTTAGTCCCTTCCTCGAGCTCTTGGATCGTCTTCTTCAGGGTCGCGATCTGGGCTTCGAGCTGCGAGGTCGTTATGTCGTATGCACAGCACATCTTGGAGATGGGAGACGCACTTGTGCCGCGTTGCTTCCTTGCAACTGCTCCTCCATCAATCTGAGCTCGTGTTCCTTCATGTCCAGTTCCTTGACGCGGACCTTCCACTCTTCCCGAACCTTCTCCGACTTGCCCAGCTCCCTCTCGAGATCCTGCAGTTGCTGACGAGCAGCATCTAGTTCCTCCTCCGCAGCGATGTACTCCTGCACCTTGATCAATAGGCCCGTGGCGTTCGGGGCTGAGCCACCCGACAAAGTGCCCGAGGGATCGTAGACGTCGCCGGCGAGCGTGACCGATCGGAGTCGCACGTTGTCTGCAAAGGTGACCTGCTTCGCGACGTCGGGCGTGTCACAGATGAGCGTGTCGCTGAACACGAATTCCATCGCTTTGGAGACGTTGCTGGGGTATTGCACAAGTGACAGTGCCGTCTTGACTTGCGAGCCGCCGATCTGTTGTGCTGCGCTCCATTTCTGTCCCTAGTCAGACTATATAGAATATCGGAGAGCCAGGAAACCGTACCCCGGGTGCTATCGTCCGCGCTTGAATCTTGGTGAGCGGGATGACGTTGATTCGTTTCTGCAGTCGACTGCCGACCAGAGCTTTGCCGACATGCTCGTCGTCGACGATGATGCTGTACAGTTTATTCCCCGAGGCCACTTCTAAGGCCTGCGCAGCGGGATAGTTTTCCTCGATGAGCTTCAGCAGGAGAGCCACACGACCTTTGACTTTTCGTCGGTCAAACTGTGGCCCGAGATCGTACTGGAAGTCGAGGCTAGCTAACCCCTGTTGGATACGTTCTTTGTTCTGTTTCAAACATGTAAGTAGGCCGTTAAATGAGAAGAACCCGATAACGCACAGATTCTAGGGTTCGCACTTGTCCCCTGATCTCCTTCAGTCTAGTTTCGCTCTCGCTCTCTTTCTCTGCGTCCCAAGCGCACTGAGCTATCTTCTGCCGACAGCTTTGTACCGTCGACCGCATAGCTTCAAGCCGGCGCTGAGCATCACCTGCCTCCCGCTCCAAAGCTTTGTATCGCGTTTCCAGCCCCTTCAGCTCGGTGAGGCTCATGTCTAGCTTCACGCGATTCTGCTTTTGCTCTGCTTCGGCCTGCGTCACCTGCTGCCGGGCGGCAGCGAGCTGGCCCATGTACCCGCCACCGCCAACTGCCTTGTCCTTGTTCGAGAGCCCTGTCAACAGACTTTGGAGTAGCTCTTCCGAGTTGGTGAGTTTGCCCTCCATCTCGTCGTGCGTAGCTTTGACCTTGGCGTACTTGGCGCTCACGGCTGCAGCTTCAGCCTTCTTGGCTTCAACGGCATTTCCGAGCTGAAATGAAGTCAAAATGTGCTGTGTGAGGGTAGACGGGATGGACGGGCCTCTACGAGCTCATCCTCAAGAGTCTTCACGCGTTTTCCTTCCTCTTGAATCGATGACTTCTTGATTTCCACCTGCGTCCCAAACTTGACGAGTTCTTTGTCCAAGGCAGCGGCAGATTCTTCCAGCTTGCCTAACTTGCCTCCCTTCTTCTGTTCTTTGTTTCGCTGCTCTTCGACTGCTGCCTTCTGTTTCTCCGCATCGTCGCACTCCTCCTGCAGCCCATCCTTCTTTCCCTCCTGCACCTTCGAGTCTCCCTCGTGTTTCGAGATGTCCTTCTGTCGCTGCTTCACTTGCTTCCGGGCGTCCTGCCATTCCCAGGCCCTCAGCTGCCGCTCCTTGTTCTGCAGCTCCGACTCGGCCTTTTGGAACTCGAGTAGCTTCTTCTTCTCTTTCCGGAGTTTGTCGAGCTTGGGCGTGATCTCCTCCTGGAGCAGGGTCTCGATCTCCTGCACTTTCTTCTCCTTCTTCGCCATCGTCTTGATCGCCTTGTCTTTGCGGTCCTCGAACATACGCGTGCCGGCCGCTTCTTCGACCATCCCCAGGATCTCTTGGGGCCGCATATTCAGAACCTGTAACCGTGCGCGTCCGTTAGTCTCTGCCGCTAGAAATACGGGGATGAGCAACCTTGGTGATCTTGCCCTGCATAATGACGAAGTTCGGGTTGTTGATATTGAGTTGCACGGACTGGAAGAGCGATTGAACCGCCTGTTGGGTGACTTTGTGTCCGTTCAGCAGGTACTTCGACGTGTTCGGGAGCGACAGCTGGAGTGGCGTCGATGGGCAGTCAATACCAAGCCACAGCGGTACGTGCGAGGACACGCACCTGACGCGTCACTGTGATCTGCTTGTACGACTCATACCCCGAGGGACTCTTGCTAACGTCCTTGTTGTCGAAAACGATGGTGACGCTGGCTTTAGTGACGCCAGCCTGCCCGCGCTTGTAGATGAGCTCGGCCTGGTTTGACGCGCGCATCTAGAGCCCGTTGAAGATCCCACGCCCTTTATCTCAGCAATAAAACGCACCGTAGCCATATTCGTGAGCCCCAAGACGAAACTAATCGCGTCGAGGATGTTGGACTTCCCCGTTCCGTTGAGGCCAGTAATCGCGTTGAACGATTCGTCCCATCCCGTGATTTGCGTTCGGACGGGATATGACTTGAACCCTGGGACGCATGAAATCGGCATCCAGGCTCGGAAGGCGCGCACCCACCTTCGAGGACGAGCTCTTCGATCCTCATGATGTCGTTTGGGAAAAGTCACGACGACGCGTCGGGTCACGCGATATTGACATGCCGATGGTGCCGGCAGTGGCTCCCGTGACTTTCGAACACGGTCACATGCTTTGCATGTTCGTTCCGCCTCGTCGGAACCCGTTCTCGTCTTCCCTGGCCGTTCCCCGGCGCATTCTCGACGATGGCGACTCTGACATCACAGATGGCCTCGCTTAAGCTCGAAGCCTCTCACACGATACCCGCGCCACCGCTTGCGAAACACAAGAGCGCTAGCCAGCTAGCGTCTCTGAAGCCGGCGAAACCGATACAGGCCTCAGACACGAAACAGCCTACGAAGTCACCCATTCAAGATGCACTCGATATCGGGCAGTATGACGGGGGACTGGAGCTAGAGAACGAGAAGCGTGGGGAGCTGGTGACTGGAGCTGCCGCAGTCGAACTCGCACTGGATTCGAGCCTTTCCAAGTGGGTCTCACAGTCCTCGCATCCCTGGATACACTAACCGTCTCCTGAAGTATATCTCCCACGCGGGAGTGGTCGCTGCACTCATTCGACATGGGTCGCCCGCTCGGCAAAGGTGCGTCACGCGCACGCACAACCCCGTGCCCATCGCCCCCAGCTGAGACTCCGCCAAGGAAAATTCGGGCGCGTCTACATGGTCCGCACCAAACAACAACCGCACTACATCCTCGCGCTCAAAACGCTGTACAAATCCGAGCTCGTCGCGCACCACGTCGAGAAGCAGACGCGGCGGGAGATCGAAATCCAGCAGAACCTGCGCCATCCGAACGTCCTGCGCCTCTACGGCTACTTCCACGACGACAAGCGCATATTCCTCATGCTCGAGTTCGCCGCGAAGGGCGAGTTGTATAAGCAGCTCGTCAAGTACGGGAAGTTCTCTGAGAGACGGAGCTCGCGGTACATCGCGCAGATGGCCGATGCGTTGATCTATCTACATGGCAAGCACGTTATCCACCGAGACATCAAGCCAGAGAATCTGCTGCTGGGGATCAACGGCGAGCTGAAGATTGGTGACTTCGGATGGTGCGTGAGCCGAATGGAAAACCCTCCAAGCAGACACTGACCGCATGCTCAGGTCTGTCCATGCACCGGGCCTGCGACGCACGACGCTTTGCGGGACAACAGACTATTTGCCCCCGGAGATGCTTGAAAAGAAGCCGCACAGCGAGAAGGTCGATCACTGGGCGTTAGGGGTGCTGGCGTACGAATTTTTGACGGGGGCTCCTCCGTTCGAGGACAGGAAGAGTGTGGACAGTGCGTGCTTGTCCACTTTCTGTTTCGTGTAGGACTTGAACTCTGACGTTGTGCCAGACACGTACCGGCGCATCGTGAAAGTCGATCTCAAGTTCCCAGCGAACATGCCTCCCGACGCGCAGGATCTGATCTCCCAAGTGAGTCCTGCTCTGCGGACTGTTCATCCTGACTCAAGAGCATGAATCTGGCAGCTGTTGCGCCACGACCCCCAGGATCGACTGCCGTTGAGTGATGTGCTGAAGCACCCGTGGATCGTCAAATGGCAGCCTCGAAAGGCTTGACAGACGGAGGGTTATCTATATCTGTTGTAGTATATATGTATATGTACTTATGTAGCCTGTAACAGGTAATCGAGAGACGGAGATGTAAAAGAGAGTTATGTATGTATGATATGATACAAGGAGCGTGCGGGTATGTGCGTATTAGTGCTATAATATAACGCGGCTGTTGGTCTGATCTTTTCAAGGCGACCGCTTGCGCTTGCCCAGCTTCGTGCTGCTGGACCCACAAGCATTGCTGTTCCCGGAGCTAGTGCTCGCAGTCGACCCGTCGCCAGAGCCGTTCTTGGGCGCCTTGGGTGTGCTCTTGCCGCCGGTCGAGGTGCTGCCATCGGCAGCCGGCGCAGGCTTGTTGACCGCAGCGTCGTTGGCTTTCAGCTTGCCTAGAGTTTTCGCGGACCGCGCTGTGTTGGCGTCGGCAGCCGCCTTGTACGTCGATCTCTTCGTCCCATCCGCATTGGGCGCATCTGAGACCTAGTGAGGACAAATTGCAGAGGTCTGGGACTCCACTGACAGATCTTTTTGAACGCAGCTTTCTGCGAGTCGCTGCCCGAAGCCTCCACGGTCGCACGCCAAGTGTGCAGAAGCGTATCAATGTTGTCACCCGTGGTTGCTCGCTCGGTCTTGAACCGTTGAATGTGGTCGTCTGCAGTGGCCGTCAACGGAAAGTAGCCGTTTTGGGGTGATAGCTCAACGTACCAGCAACACTGTACATGAGCTTGCGTCCCGCGTCAGTGTACTTTTTCTGCCAGCAATGTCAGACACCGAACATCAAACAATCCAATTCGAGGACGGCACTCACGTAAGCAGACTTCAGCGCTTTCTCGTCACCAAACGACTGCAGCAACGCGGACTTGACCGAGTTCGGGTTAAAGTTGGCGCCCTTGTCAACATCTCCCCAGAGACCACAGAAGTCTTTGAAACGGTCAGACAGAGGAAGACACGACATAACAACACACGCACTGGACTTGTCGTTGAGGACCTTGGTGATTGCGCTCGTACTAGTGTCGAAGATACTCAGCTTGCAGAGATCCGCCTTTTCGGCCTTTGACAAGGCGCCAAGCGTCTTGGTGAACTCATTGGCTGCCGGTCAAAGTCAGCAGACGATAGCAGACAGCGATGTGCCCCCACTCACGTTCAAACAAGTGATCGCATTGGCTGTTTCGGCTGTGAGTAAGTCAGGAAAACGCGGGGCAGGTGTGCACACACCATTTGCCTTCATCGGCCTTCCCGGCATTCGACACACAGGTGTTCCAATCCACAGTCGTCGTCGATGTCGGACTGAGGAATGAGTTCGGGTACTCCATATTCAGATTCCCCGCTTTGCACAGCGCACGGTAAGTCGTCGAGCTGATCTTCAGGTCGCTGGCGGCCTGAGAAGGGAGATCAGCGATGTAGATGAGACTGATTTGAAACCTTACTTTGACCTGCCACACACAAGCAGCACCCGCACGGCGATCCAGCTGCTCCCAGTACCTGGCTTCTAGTTCCTGAACATAAGAGTCGTTGGATGCGAACCGAGGAGTCGTATCCGCCAACGAGCGGTTCGCCCAAACAGAACCACTGGAAGTCGAGTTCAAACTGCGCGGCTCATCGAACGCGCGCCGCGCGACAGGCAGCGACGCGAGACTCGTGCCGAAATCGGCCGTGTTGAGCAGGAACGAACCGAGGTTGGACTCGGCACACTGCAGCAAGTTGCCTTGGACCCGCTCCGCGGACTGCCCGAACCGGAACCGCCCGAGCAGCGACGAGCTGTCCAGCGCATTCTCGACCTTGGCTACCGCGCCTGCGACATCGGCGTCAGACCCGAGTCGGCCGATCCAGGCCAGCGCGTCGAGCCCCTCCAGGTTCTTCGTGAGCGACGCGATGTCCGCGACGCCCGAGATGGCCGTCGCGAGGTCGAAGCCGCCGGTGACTAGGTCGACGATCTCTCCGACACCGGGGATGAACGCCAGCACGACCATGGCGATCGTCTCGATGAGGCTTTGGATAGAGTGTCGCGTTGCAGCTTCGTAGGCAGCTGACAGGGGCCGACGCGATCAGCCACAGGGAGAGTCAGCCAGCATGGGACGCACCTTGTTCCTGTTCATCCAGCCGCGTCTGGTTGATGTACGAAAGGGTGTTGCTGATCGTCTGGTTTCCGACAGAGATAGCCGTCAGTGTCATTTGGAGCAGAGACATCAATTGGATGGGCTCCGTCATTGGCTCAAGTGCATAGTTGCTCAACGTGTTGACCGAGTCGGCTGGAGCCACAGTCAGTGCGTTGTCCCAGCAATGTTCTGACACGACTTGCCTGTGCTCGCGATGTACCCATTGATCGAGTCCTTGGGGTTGGAGAAAAAGGTGTTCGGATCGATGAGATACAGGCCTTGCCAAGTCGTGTGGCACGCCGGCAGATTCAGCGGGTCGTAGCCAGCCCGTTTCGAGAGCTGGTTGTAGTGGGACCCCGTCGAATTGGAGATAGTCGCGTTGTACAACTCGCCTTCTTCTCTGGTACAACTCGGATGACAGACCGGATTGCCGCCACCGCCGCACGAAGCCTCTGTACAGCGGATGAGAAACCTACATCAAAACCGCAAGACGGGGTACGAACGATCTCGAGAAACATCAAAGGAGCCACCGGAGACAAGATTATCGAGATTGAGCCCCAGCGAGTTGCTCAGGTACGTCTTGAAGCCGTTGGGATCTTTGAGAGTCCAGACAACGGTGGAAAGGGTGGTGATGTGCGGTGACGGGTTGGCCGGTGTCTCGTTCAAGTCGATGAACCCAGGACAGCGAATGCTCACGCCCAGTCCAGACCTATGCAAACATGCATATGAGCTTGGGAGCGATGGAGGCCAGTCGTTCGTTTACTCACGCGCACGACCAATATTGGTTCCCACCACCAGTAGCCGATGCAATCTACTCAATGATGAGGACTGCAAGGCATTCAGCCATTCAACGCTCGTACCTCAAAGTTGATCGCCTTGCCAGTCCATTTCTTGTATATGGCAAAGTTGTCCGTCGACAACTCCGGCGCCGAGAGATAGGAAGCAAGGTGGTTGCTGATCTGTGTCTGGAGAGCCAAAGCGCCGAGAAGGAGGGTACGGTAGCTGTCAGCAGCAGTCAGGAAGGGATACTGAGAGACCAAGTTCGATGCAAAGGTATCCTATCGCAGCAATCAGCAATTCTGCCATGCCATGCTGAAGGATTGAGAGATCGCACGTAAGCACCGGAGCTCAAGTATCCATTACCGTCGATGGAATTCGGAACGCCGATCGCTGTAGATTGTGAGCCACGAGCCTTTTGAAGCGGATAATACGTACAGGAAACGACCACATCTGCTGTAGGCAGATATCCTCCAAGCGCAAATATACCGTTGGCCAGATCCGAGTCGATGCTGTCCTGATCAATACTGAAGGCTAAGCGCGTACAGTATCTGAGCAAGCGCAACGGAAGGGACGCGTGGAAGCGTACCAGAGACACCCCCCATGCAGAGACCATTTGCTTGCGACGCTCGGGTAGCCACCGAGTAGGTCGTCTCGCCAAACATGAAAGAGCCATCGCTGAGATAGAGTGACTGGAGGTAGACGTCGGGGCTCGTCGCGTGAACAGACCAACTAAGGCAACGAGATTAGTGTTTGCCGAAGCATGACAAAACCAAGATCGCACGCGTTGGAATCGTAGACATAGTCATTGACCAGAGCATCAAAGGCATAGTACGGATAGGTCCCCTGCCCAAGATCGTTGGATGATAGGCAAGAACTCTGCAGGAGCGATGAAGTCGTGGGTCTGTCAATTTAGGGTCAGTTGATGTGACGCTTGGACAAGATGAGAACTGACCGTGAGAAGAAGGGGATCCCAAAGAGGAACAAGCTGGACGGGATCTTCGAGTTGGCCGCCATTGCTGTCTTCATGTTCTGCGGGATGGTATTCATGTCGTTGGGGTCATTGTTGTTGTTAGCAGCGTAGGTCGTGATCAGCGAGATGAAGTCCACTAGAGCGATGTGAAGAAAGGTGTACCAAGCAGCAAACTGCACAAACCGTGAGAAGCGATCGAGCCCAGGGAGGGTCCCAGTCCGCTCAAAGCGAAGAAACCGTTGGGCAAGTGCACCGAGACTATCAAGTTTCCAACAGCAGCCTTGGTAAACGCGACCAAGTTCGCAAATTGGTCGGCAGAGACACAAAGGCCGTTACACATCGGCCACTCAATATCGACTCCGTCCGCAGAGATTCTACTCTATGATCAGCACACAGATGGCGATTGGTTCGAAGTGGGACTGACGACTTGGCAAGCGCAGCAACGTTGCTCGCGAATATCTGCTGCGTACCCGAGTTCTGAGCCATCGAGAGGAACCCAGACGGGTCGGCGCCGAATCCGAATCCACCGACTGCACGAGACATCAGCGATGCGAAAGTAGACTGGAGCGACAGTGCGTACTTCCGATCATGATCTTGATATTTGGTTCCAGCTTCTTCATGTTCCGCGCGGTGCTGAAACCCGCCGTCTGGTCTGCAGTACTGGTCACCGACCCATCCGGTCCGACAGCGAAGAAACCGTAGATGATATGCTGGAAAGTACAGTTAAGCAAGAAAACGAGCACACCCAGATAGATCAGTACCGTGAAAGTCGACGAGTCGCTGGCATCAGGAGCCCAAGGCAAGCACCCGCGCTTGGCAGCACTTTGCACGTAAATGAGCTGCGGATGAGATCGGAGCACGCAGGACATACGTTCCGATGTAATACCCAACAATCTTGCGAGGCGACGTGCAGTCTTGGGCGGGAATAGTCCCTGTCGGTGCCGAAGGTGCGGATCCATGGTTACAGGCACCAGAAGGACTGCGCCCAATTCAGCCGGCGCGGGCCGTCATCTGAGAAGAGCAGACGCACCAATACCCGTAAGGACATGACCAAGAACAAAGTCCTCCATCTGTGACGCCCGGCGCAGCCATGCCAACCGCAGATGCTGTGTAGGCCGGAAGCACAGGCTGAGTGCCCGTGCTATCGCAGTTGCATACATGCATCGGACACATGCCAAACGCGCAGGCGAAGCTGCACAGACCGCCGAGATTGGGATCCGATTTCGCACTGCCCTTGGTGCACACATTCGGATTGAAAGGCGAAGAAGTCGGCGTCGTCAACGGGTGTTGTGCAGTGTCACATGCCGGACTGGGGCAGTAACTGCAACAGCACAGTCAGAAGAAAGGCTGCGCGAACAAAACTACACGCACCCGTAAGTGCAGTCATTGGCGCAAAGACCTGCATAGCTAGCATCCTTTCCGGGGCCCGGATAGCCCAAGGTGGGCGAGGGCTTCGGTTTCGGAGGCGGAATGCCCATTTCGACACAGATACAGGACCCGATTGGGCAGTAACCTGTACATCTGAAATCAGTCGGTGGTCGAAACGAGCATGAAACAACCCACCATAATTGCATCCAAAGCTGCAGAGACCAGCAAAGTCGCCGACCTAGACTTGTCCGTCAGAATTGAGCACGAACATGATGTCCCCGACATACGCTGGTCCCGGCTGTGCAGTTCACATTGTTGTCGTAGATTCCCCAGCTGGGAGCCACATTGACAGTCGGGCCGGTGGCACTCCCGACCCAGGCATTGAAATTGGACACGCCGTTGCGACAGACAGTGGTGATCGACTGAGATCCGACGTACATCCCGTTGACGGTCACCTCCACAGTCCCGAGGTAGCTGCCGTATGCGGCACTGCCGCGGTAGATGCCGACTCCGCCTTGGGGCTTTCTGTCCCACTGCGCTTGGAGAACGTTGCCGCCGACGGAAACCTTCGGTGCTACCTCGGCAGAGAGGAGCGCAGCAAAGTAGATGCGGTCCTGGACGATCTGAGAAGGTGGGTACTCGATTTGGAGTTGGTTCGCGACATTCCCGGTTGTGCCTCCGTCGCCGCAAGCAGCGGCCGGCGTCAATCGGAACCAAACGCTTAGCAGCTCCTGTTGGATTGTGGCTTTCCCAGTTTTGTAGGTTTGGATCAAATACCTGCCGGGCATTGAGTATATGTATCGTTTCTGGAAGCATCAGAGAAATCACGGGAGGAAGATAGTCCAGCCAGTGTGTGGCATTCCGTCGGCATAGTTGTACGAAGCTTTTCCGATGGTGAATGCGTCAAAAGATTCAGAGTGCAGCGGGCCTGATCAAAGTGGTCAGCCGTATCACAGGAAGAAAGAAACGACTCACCGATATAGTGAGACTCGCCATAATCATTCCATGAAATGATCTCCACAAAGTCCGGCCGAGTGTAGAAGACTTGTTCCCAGCGATCGAACCACAGGGTGTCGCCATTCCAAAGCCAGTTCTTGTTGTATCCGGGCAGATTGGTGTAGAACCAAGGCGACACTACGCATTCTGTCAGTATTAGTGTCAGCGTACAAGATATTGACATACCAGGCATCATGTAGTTCTTTGCAACAGGCCGATTACCCATGTCCGCGCCCATGAACTGACAATGGACGATGAGTCGAGAACACGTGGAACCTATCAAGAGCTCACCAAGAGGTACGACGCGTCCGGGAAAGTGTCCATCGATCTGGGTCCGACTGGCCATGCAGCCCAACTGAAGAGACCGTCTGCCTGATTCCCGCACTCAGTTTTGTTGGGGACGCGTCGAAAAGAAGCAGCAAACCTGTCCGTACGACCAAGCCTCCTTCGCGCTGACAGACGACCAATCAGGGATCTACAACGCGATCAGCAGGGAGGGAACAAGACAGAAAAACGCGCATACAAAGTAACATCCCGTGACTGCCTTGATATGCACCCAGTCGGCGTGGTTAGCGGCGCCCGCGAAGGTGGATACGAATGCCGTTGAGCTTGTAATAAGCCACGTTTCCCATCCAGGGAGTCAGCGTATCGAGCACAGTCTGCTGCGGCCACGGCCCATTGCCGCCATAGTCGAAGGAGAAAAAGATCTTGAAGCCAGTGATCGCACCCGCAGCCAACGCATTCCCGATCTGGCTGTTGGCGGGGTCGCCGACGGCCATATTGATAGCAAACGCGTCGATCGACATTGCCTGGGCGGCGCGCATGTCGCTAGCCCAGTCGGGAACACCCCATGACGCCGTGTTGGTGATCTAGAAGTCATTGAGCCCGGGAGCCAGACGGCAGAATGTGGTAGCTAAACGGACCATGAAGTGAGCGAATACAGCGTATGCATCGACTGCTTTCAGCGGCGCGAGCAGCATCGCTGCTGCAAGCGCAAGGAACCGCATCTTCCTTCGAGGAGCCCGGGGCGTTCTGTTGTTGCGTCCTCTCGCATCGGCCTCTCCTTATATCCAGTATTTGCCGCAGGTCAGGACCTCGAGTCCATGTGACTCGAGGCGACGCAAAACGCGAGATAAAGCCAAGACGGAATGCCAAGGTAGCATAAATGCAGCCGTGGGAGCGTGCCTGGTCTACTAGGCACGAAGAATTGGGCGCGGAGACGAGATGCGTCGGGAAAGAGATGATCAATTAGGTAATCTCCATCATTTGATGCGCCTGATCCATCTATTGCCAATGGCTCGTGAGTAACAGCCTTTGCCTGCCTTTGTAGAGTCTATCTATCACACACCGATTAAAAAACCGCTTGGATGCCTGCAATATCAAAAATGGGGACGAGGTACGTATACTACAGAGCAGTAGTGATTTGTATTCCAATCCCAATCCCACGGACAAAACCACTATTTTCAAATCTGCGTCCGGTCGCGACTCGCCGGCCGTAGCAAATTCAGCTCATGATAAGTTCGAGCGCATGGGCTCTGAAACCAATCAAATGGTTGCGTTGCTGCTAAACGATGTCGCTTCGAGGATCTGCGAAGGCCCCGGGATCGGCAGCTCGGACTGCTGAGTTCAATCCGCACTTCTCGAATACCGCAGCACTGGTCCTTGCCGCGCGTCTGGATGTGTGTCGTGGAGCAGCTTGATCGACATCCAAGTAATCCCTGCTGTGGATAATCGTTTTGGCTTACCACCTTGCAGCGAACAGTAGGTAAATGCGGGGTAAGAATGAAACGGGCCGCTTAGCGGCCCACATGGGACCGACCATTTACGGCCACGATCGACCGGAGGAGAAAATCGTCCCTGATGGCCAGTTCTCGGTCTAAGCGCAGTCTCGTCCCCAGGCCCGTGTTTCACGGAGTCTTTGCTCAGCTCAGGAGCAAAGTTGTACACCGAATGCAAGCGAGGACTGCCGTCTACGAGACGGATCTGGGCTCTGGGTATGTATGTGAAGAGGCTGAGCTCATCATCGATATTCAAAATACGGGATCTGATACATACAGCAACGGTGGTTGCAAAATCAAGGAAGGGCGGCATGCCAGTCGTGACTGGACGGCTCGTGCCGTCGTATCGGATGCCGCAGAACATCGTCCGCCCCCAACCCATGATGCGAATCAACGGAGCTCCCCAGCAGGTCATCTCGGGAAGCGCTGCTTGGGTCCTGTAGCAATCGTCTGGTCGAGGCGCTTCGCGCCGGTGCATTCTGAAGCTGCTGGCGCATCGTCGCCGTGGAGCTCGAAGTTTGAGTCATAGAAGGGGGGCCCGAGCCCCAGCGCGTCGCAAGTTGCAGTTGCTAAGTACACAGATAGGAAAACTTGATAAAGATGGCAGATAAGATAACGGACCTTGAAGAACGGCCGCCCTGGATTTCGGGGCGTTGAGCCCGCATCTGCGACCAGGGTGGAAGCGGTTGCAGTCGAGTTCACGGTGTCCCGGCGGACGGGCGGAGACTCGAAGGACTCGTCGTCGTCCACCGGCACGTACGTTGCTCGCTTCGCCGCGCGTCGAGGTCCCAACGACATTCTCCACGGGGCCACCGATGCATCGAACGGAGAGTGCACGCCTCGTTCCAGAATAACCCAGAGATTCTTGTTCCTCCGGAGAAGGAACTGTGATAGGTTTGTGAGTGGTCAGCTCGATCTTGCCCATGGAATATGCCGCTCACAAAGACAGCTGCAACAAGAAGCACAAAGAGAGCTGCTGCTACTACGATGACGGCAACTGCCGATGCACTAAACATGTTGAGTGCCGCGAAAAATGAAAGGCCGATCCACTTACTCCAACTTTTGTTGGGGTGGAGGGGGGTTCGTGGGAATGATTGGCATTCCCGTCTGACTCGGTTGCGGTAATGAACTTGACGAGCTGGAATAACCGGTCAGCTTGAGCATGGATGCACCACAGTCAGCTACAAACACTTGAAGCGGCGAGAGCAGCGACGAGGAGCTATGGACAGTGGCGTAATCCATCTCGAACATGCCCGGTTCATCAGTCACTAGTGTCACCGTGTGATTTCCCTCGCCAAACCCACTCCCGAAATACAACAGGACCTGCGCAGAGTACAGGTCTTTCGTGGCAGAATAACTTAGTGTTGGCCTGTTTTCTCTCAGGACGGAGTATCGGGCATGGTTGGGTCCAGTGGTGCCGTAGATGGACACTGCATCACCTGTCAAGATGTTGGCGTCATGCCACTTTCCGAGCATAACATCGTTTCATCACCCTGAGAAGCCGGTTTCATATAGGCAGCACAAATGGAAAATGATCGCGCACTGAGAACGTAAAATTGACGGAGGCATTGGCCAGGTTTATCGAACTGCATCCCCCACAAGTCAAATGGAAGCCAAAGACATGCAAGACTGACGCACTGTCCCGTGGCATACTTGAAGCTCGGCAGATTAGGTGAAGAGACATCCCAGGCACCGTGCGGTAGGTACGTGAACGCAGAACTGGTGTCATCGACCGTCGTAGTGGACAATTCCGAAGTCTCGTCGCCGTGATGTTTGATACTGCATGAATAGGTGATCTGAGATGCGTCAGGTAAAGGACCGCGACGCAGAGACCCCAACGTACGGAGTCGATGTCCAACGTGTCCCAACTGTCGTTGATGATCTCTAAAGTATGCTGCCCCGGAACCAGGACCCCCGAGTCGTAGATCGTGGTAGAAAACGACTGGAAGCCGGATGTTGTCTGCGCAGAGAGCAAGTCGGGCTTCCCGTCCAAGTTCACGGTGAAATTGGACCCAAACGTGCTCCGCGAGCCATTGACTAGCACTTTCGTCCCCTCGAAGGTGAGCTGCACCGAGTCATTCTGCCAGGTGGTCATCGTATAGCTCGCACCATATGCACTGCAAGGACCTTGCTGGTGAGCTACGGACGATGAAGATAGCAGGACATCACCCACTCGCTGGACTGGTTCTGTGACCAGTGACCCCCATTGTACGTGAGAAGAGGACTTGTGTCGTCGATCACAACGTCGTAGGACTGGGCTCGTGGTGAATGCCCAGTTGGCTGTGCGCTCATATCGGAAACGAAAGGAATGTCGGTTGCTGAACGAAAACGAATGGTTCACAGGCGAGAGTGGACCCCCAGGGCCAGAGAGAAAGTCGAATGGACGGGACGGACGAGGGAAGGAAAGAAGGACGGTCAGAGCAGGGTGGAGATACAGATGCTCATCAGTCAAGTCAATGAAGCCACAGCCCAAAGATGCTTCCTTGATCGGTTAGATCACCCTTCGTGTCTGACAGGTTTCACAGTCCAGTGTGGTGCATCAGCCGTGGGATGAGAAGCAGTCCGAGCCAAGATCAAAATGATAGAGATGCGAAAGGAATGGAGACCAAGAGACATCGTTCGTAGGGTAACAGACACACAAATGCATGCAGATCGGAGTTGTCAGGACGAGGCGCGAGAGCGTTATGTACGAAGCAGGGTGAGCCACTAAGTGGCTGTCATAAGGAGCGCACGATCTGATCGTACAATGCCACAATGCGCCAGAACATCCGCTACCAGCTCTCTTTGTTAGGAGATGCAGGTGGATTCGTCCACGTCAGAATCTGATCAACCATGCGGAGAGAGTGAGTACTTGAGCATAGGCTCTGGGGTCGCGGGCTGGTATCAACAAACGAGAACAGTTGCTGACTCAGCAGCTTCCAGCATAGCCACTTCGGAAGGCGAAAGTGCTTGGATCAGAGTGAAAAGATATATCATTCGTGGTCTGACGGTAAGTATCCAGTCAAGACGGGCATCGAGAGTCGAGGTGACTGTAGCAAACGGGTCGTTACTTTTGCTCAAACTCTTCCTCCGCTTTTCTCACTTCGCGTATGCAGATTACGTGTGCGGTTGATTTTTTCGGCAGCGCTTCATGAATCACAGAGCTCCAGGAACATCGACTGATTCATCTCGGCAATTCCTATGTTGGACAATCTGCACCACTCAGCCACTTTTTTCGCCACAGGAAACGGCAAAAGTGTCTCGTAGGAGAATTGCTTTATCTGATGCGCTCCCAGGTGACTCTCCAATTTTTTTTGTACGGTTAGTTCTGAGTAACTTCTGCGGCGCTGACCGCTGCTGACCGTCGCTGCCGTGAAATCCGAGGCAAACTTCCTAATTCAGTAGCGAGGCGTTGTTTACCGATGTCATGCGCATCATCTGACCCCGCTTCACCCCACACCTTCCTGGCCAATCCATGTTGTTCTCGCGTGGTCCAAGACCAAGTCTAGAGAGCGTCTAGAGAAATTGACCACTTTCCCGCGAAGAACGTTGCTAGTGTACGTACACTCTCTGTCACGATTCCACCTGCCATCGAATTGATCTATCCAATTCAAGCTCAGCCCACTCTTTTCTTCCACCTTTTCCACCATGACCACGATGACTTCCCGTAGGCTCTCTGCACGTCGAGGATCGACCTCAGCGTCTGATCCGCACGCGAAATACGCTCATCTACTGCGAGAATCGTCCAGCATCCTGACGATCGTGCGCGTCACTTCCCCGCCGGCCATCCCACCTCCTTCGGCGTCTGCAGGTCCCACAGATCCCCCACCGTCCCCCCGGCGCGCTCACAGGCGTCTCGGAAGCAACCCCAATCCCTCCCCTGCTATCTCAGGGTCGCCCGACGCCCCAGGCCGTTTGAGCTTTGCGTTTTCCTCATTCGGTGCACCCCATCAGCAAGCCAACTCCGGAGGCGGTGGGGGCGGGTCACCTCGTCTGCGTCCCTCTTCGCCTCACCGGTCGTCCCCCTCCGCTTCGTTTTCCAACCTTACACGTCTATCGCCCGAACAGCTGCTCGACGTCGCGAAACAGGCTACGAATCCTCGCCTCCCATCATCGCCGTCATCAACGTCGTCATTGGTGTCGCACTCCCCCATTCTCCACGCGCGCCCGCAATCTCCGCAGGCGCTCCCCCCTGCCTCCGTAGCTCCAACGACGTTCACTCAGCTGCCGCCCGGAGTGTATCTCCCGTTCCTGGATCGCCCCACCGAGGTCTCTGCGCTATTGGCGTCCCCGCCCTCCGCCAAATTGTTCGTCCTCCTCGCTCAGACCTTCACCAAGTCTCCCAAACAGACTCGCAAGAACGATCAGCTTCCCGTCGATACCGCCGATTGGTCGTTCGATGATCTGGCGTATTGGTTGACGAAGACGACCCGTGAGGAAGCCTCCGACGCGTTTTGGGTCCAGTCGGCCCGGAGATGCATTTTGCAGCACTCAGAGCTCATATGGGAGCGACTGAAAGGCGCGTTGGGCGTCCCACCCGAGCTCGATGTCGAGTTCTCTCAGACGCAGTACGAAGAAGATGTATTCGAAGATGATGATTCAGAGGAGGCGGATTTGACCTCTGGAGAGTCTGCCAAAAGGTCTGTGACCGTTGCAACTAGGATCATCTAGTCTCACATTTCCGCAGCTCTGCTGGCTCGTCTCCCATCACATTCCGGATCCCAACCAAGTCATCCGTCGTGCCGCAAATGTCGGAGATCGAAGATATGGGATATTTTGCGCTTTCTCCCATCCATAACGAGGACGCGAATGGCATCTTTATCGAACCAGTATTTGCCTGTCCCGATATTTCCACCTCCCATCCTCCTCCGATGTCGCTTCCGGCCTCTCTCTCCAGCGAAGCGAATGGATTGGGAGACATTGGCGAAGAGGACGAAGAACAAGACTCGATGGCAACTCCGAGCAACCTCACCCCCGAGGTCATTGAGGCACCTCCGATCCAGGGCCTGCGGATTTCTACATCCGACGCCACGATTACTCAATCATCGCCACTGATCCAGTCAAGCACGACAGGACTGCCCCTGCGGTCGCCCTCTTTTTCGGCTCGCCGAAGCCACTCGCCTACGCTCTGGCGTTCTGGATCCATGGGGGGCGGTACTGGAGGGATCAAGCGGTCCGGGTCTTTCGGAAGCGTGCACTCCATCTCCTCGGACCGTCCGTACGACCCGGTCGCGGATCGCGTGCCTGGTAATCCTATCTTCCCCACGAACTTTGCCTCTCTTGCTGTAGGACCGACGTTGGCTGCAAAGTGAGTGATAGAAGCTATCAAGTACACCCTGTGGTTCTCATCGCTTCTTCACAGTAACCCGGCTCTGAGATCCCCACCTATGCCACCGCAGTCCAAGTTCAGCGTTGGGATGCTGCGCCGATCTTCCACCAAGTCCATGGATCGAGGTAACAGATTCCGTCGCAGCTGGGGCAACGCGGATGATTATGCGGTGACTGTTGCCAGTGGCAGCAGTGCCGGTGGCAGCGTCAGAGATGACGCTTGAAATATGGTTAGTCTGATTTTGGGTTGTATCAGCTGTTGGTCAGGGTGTTGTAGAAGTTGTGTTTGTAGCTCTCCTTGTAGACACACTCAGGGTTCTGTTACTTGGCTGTAGTACATCTGAGTCGGAAGGTTTGCACGTGAACTCGTGTAGCGTGCACGTGATCGCGTAGTCGACGTGCATGCAGTATCATACTATTGATCACACATTCATGGTCAAAGCCTTGAAATGTCCCATATGTCCGTCCACGTCCAGATTCTTGACGCTTCAAGAGTAGGCCTCAGTAGCAGCCGCGCTCATTTCCTCTAACACAGCCTGGGTATTCGCCAATGTCTCCGCTGCAATGGCGTGGAACATCAACTAAATCATCGATGAGCTTCTGTCCCACTGATGAATCGACTGGCTTACCTGTGCTTTCGCGAGTTCGTTCAGTTGCTTGATGGGCTCAGGCTCATCTAAAGTCAACGCAAGTAATGTCGGATTCGGGTAGCTACGCACATTTTGCAGCACTTTCTGCATCAGTTGGATCGCAACCTCGGTCTTCTGGACGAGATCATCTTCAGCATTCTCGACTTCCAAGCGAGCCTGTTCTTGTCTCGACGGGTTCGCGTTCTTAAGGCTGGAGACGCATACAATGAGCATTGCTGTCGGCTTGAAACACTGCAGGACGCTCACGTCTGCTTGGCGCCATCGAGCTCCAATCGACTGGTTCGGACAGCCTGCCGGGCTTTCAGCGCCACCGCAATCGAGGTCGTCAGGCTTTGCTGCCAAGGGTGCAGGTAGTTTAACCGAATAGCTTGGTCCTATTGAAGACGTCATGGACGATGGGGGGACACGACACGATGCGGGACCTGCCTGATCAACGCGGGCCGCAGCGACTTTATCCATCCCATCCGCATATGTTTCGAGCGCAGATGACAGCGCGGTGTCCTGCTGACCAGGGCTGGCCGTTAACACGATACCCGCAGCGGACCGACTGGCCCGCGTCAGCGCGTGTGGAAGCGTTTTGTGCATCGGGGCCGGGGGTGGTGCGTGCGGAACGAGCGCCGGCTGTTCTGGGGTAGATGCCGGTGTAGCTGGTTTGCCGCGCAGAGCGGAGATGCCCTGTCCGAAGGAGGTCGAAAGCTCGGCAAGGGATTCCTGAATTTGGGACGGGTAGTCGTAACTTTCGGATTCGTATATCTTCGTTATCCTGATTACATGAGATATTGAAGAGCACACAACGGGGGCGGGACGCACTTGAGGAATGCCATGTGCGCAGCTTTGAGAGCATCGACTTGGGCCTCCAGGTCCTTGTACTCTTGTGGTAGTTCCGTGATTTCATCCGGGGCAACCCGTCCAAGACGTTCTTTGGTCGCTTGAACGCTGGTTTGGAAGCCCTTGTTCAGGTTGTTCGAAAGACTACGCCAATCCATGGAAGTGAGTGAAGAAAAGCGTACGTGCCATGTTCGAGGCGTGCCGCATCACTGATCGGCGTACTCGGCCGTGTCCAGGAGTCACACTTGCTCTCTTCAACCACCACTATTGAGAATGAAGTCCTACGATTTCTGCGTCCATGCCGTCTCGTTGGAGGGAAAATCACAGTCTCTTGATTCTTTCAGGCCATCTGCCATCGGCTAGGACCTGTCCAGGGCAGGGACAATCAATACCTGGTATGAATCTGTCAATTTACACGCAGCATAACTCGCGTACTTATAAGACGAAGCACTTGAATGGACTGAAAAACCTCCACTTTTTCTTCTCCTCGTCCCCTGCCTATCATGGCTATGCTCTTAGCGCCTTACAACGACGCGATGCGCCTTGGAATGGGGTTCGTTTCCTCCTGTGCACGCTCTTATACTTGAGCGGGCGCTGAGTTGCCCCGCAGGTTCAACTCGTTCACCCAGCAGCTCTGCATCAACGATGCGGTTAGACTGGAGGGTGGTGGGCGCACACCCGCGGTGAGTAACGCGTCCTGTTCTCTAACGCTTTCCGTTTTCACACCGTGGCCAGACCGAGCGGAATCTGCGTCCCCAATACAAGTTTGGGCAGATGACCGGAGTCGACGGAGGGAATGTGGATATCAGCCAAGACGTTACTTGGACTGCCAAATTTGTGGATAGGATTAGCGAGATCACGGACAGTTTGAACGTCAGCGGTGCGTATGGTTTCTACTGAGCCATATCGACACTGACTTCAACATCAACAGGCTCCCTTCAGATCAAGTGTGATGCAGTCGGAGGTGGTGGAAAGGCATCAGCCTCGTTCATCGACACGAACAAATTCAAAGAGAGCGACATCAATTACTTTATTCAAGTTCGAGTGACAAACCAACGGCTTACCGCGCCCGACCTTACCGACTTTGACCCTATACAATACCTTCCTGCGTCCGAGTTCAACCGAGTGTATGGAGACTCCTTCATCTCGGGTGCGCCATCTGTTCCATTCTGACCATCCGTTCTCATACTCGCGGACAAGGCTTCACTGAAGGCGGCGAGTTCAATGCGCTCATTTCCATCAAGCTCAAAGATCGCTCTAAAGCGAAGGAGATCAAAGGTGACCTTGAGGTTAACATGAACTTTACGGCCGTCTCGGTGTCCGGGAAAGGTGCCCTGGCCAAGACGGACGCGAGCAAGGAGATGCAGGGCGAAACCACGATCGCTGTGTCCTGGAAAGGTGGAGGAGATATCAAGGATGCCACAGTGATGGACTGGACGCTAGAATCACTGAAGAGCGTGGCGATGGAGTTTCCAGAACACGTCATGGCCTGTCCGATGAGAACAAAGTGTGTACGGTTTGTTTGCTTTGCCAGATTTATGAACTTGGGAATAGCGCCATCCTCACCAAGTACACAAGCCTGAAGAGCTTCTATCAGAAGAGCATCAAAGGCTCGCCGTTGGGTCAGTCTTTCTCACCGAGACACCAGGTGGCTGGCTGATAAATTCGTAGACTATGAGAATGCTGGTGTCTACTCTTCTGCTCTGCTCGATGCTTACATGGACTACAAAGTCATGTGGCGGAATATACAACAAGGTAACTGATGATTCTCACACACATCTGCGCGTAGCCTAATTCCTCGCGCAGCTGCGTGGGAGGTTGAGCAAGGCCAATCTACATTGGTTGCCAAGGAGCACGTCGAAGAGTTCAATGAGCTCAAAGGCGAGGCCAAGGCCAACTTCGACGCTCAAATGGTTGTCTACAAGAAGAAAGTAGCCGAGTTTGAGCTGAAACGGGGCTCAAACCTGCTCACCGGGAACCCAGCATGCGTTTCTCCTCCCCCGATTGTTCCACCTGCTGTGCCTGTCGCTACCCCACCAGCTGTCGACAGCACGGGCGCTGTCGCTGTATCTTCGGTCAGTCAACCAGTGCCCCCAGCAGCCCAGCCTTTGTCGCCTCCAGTGGTTCAGCCAACGGCTCCAGTTGCTCAGCCAGCGGCTCCAGTTGTTCCGTATTCGCCCCCGGCCCTGGCAGAACTGGAGGCTGCGGAGCCTCTGCCACCCAACGACCTCACTCCATACAGGGGCAGCCTGTTCGGCTTGGACAAGGCTCGGAGAGACTGCCGCTTCGAGATGATCAAGATCGTGCGAGAAGTAGATGCCGTCGCTGACGATCCAAAAGTCGCTTGTGACCCAATGCGATCTTGGCAGTATCTCAGTCCAGCGGTGTTCAGGATGTTGCTTCCGGTACGTACACTATCACATATGCTTCTGAGGTCTCACCGTGACAAACCCAGACTGTTCGGAACTTTGACCGAGAGCGAGCTGCGGAACAGGCCTCTGAAGCTGCAAAGAAGGCGAAAGCCGAGAAAGAGGCTCATCAGCTGGCCATGGCCACCAACTTGACGGCATCCAAGGACAAAGTCACTTTGCTTGAGGGTCAGAGCAAAGAGCTACAGAGCACCAAGGAAGAACTCGAAAAACAGCTCGAAGAGCTACAAAAAGCGCACGAAACTCTGAAGAAGACCTATGATGCCTTGAAGCAGGGACTCAAGTGAGTCGAGTATTGCTGCAAAGATAACGGGTCATCTGACTTCGGCCAGCCCTTGGGATGGCTGGGCCCCAGTGACAGTCCGAACATACGTCAGGATACGCAGTATGTGGACCAAGAAGTGTTTGGACTACTTTTATTCGGACGGCAATGGGTCCTTGGAGCTCTTCCAGCACGAAGCCAATACGGGACATAACCAGCGGGTATGGACTGCGGTTGTCTTTCTTCCCATCATTAATTGATACCCTACAGTTCCAAATAAATGCCGTCGGACCTCGTGCCTTCTCGATAAAACACGTCACTTCTGGGCATTTTGTGACGACGGGAAAGAAGGTGTCCTATGGGGTCTATTTCACCATGGGCGAATGTCCGTCGTTCTTCACCTTCGAGGCCATGAATGACAAGGACGGCAAGTGGACTGGAGCATGCATGTGAGCGACCTCGCTATGGCATCCACCGCGTTCTCACTCATTTCCAGGGTGCATATCGCCGAGATGCCGGACCATACATTCAATGTAGAGGGTGGCGCGTCCCACGACGGTGCAAAGATCATCGGCTGGAACGGCAGTCCCAAGTCGGACAATGACAAGTGGTACATCAAAGACTTTGATGACCTGAGCATTTGAGCGCTGGGCTCGCGCTACTATAAATTGTAATTCTCTGGTTCAGGGTCAGTAGAGTACATACTTAATTCCTTTGGTTGATCGAAATTGGAATTCTGAACGACGGGAGTGCATCAGGTGGCTGTGTCGTGTCGTGTACTGTACTGGACTCGACACGTCCTCATCTTTCCCCTCATTTCATTTCCTCCTTCATGGATTTCCTTCATTCACAGCTATCCAAGGTTGAGCACCAGCTCCTATTCGTCAAAACGGACCCCATTGACTGGAAGCTCTACGTCCAAACGATTTCGTGGGCTGTGACGTTATTCGAATCGTATCTCCTGTGCGTTCGTGTCCATCACAATCCCCTTCTTCGTCTCACGCGACACCTCACGTAGAATCCGCCAATACCCGCTGTACTCTAAGACAGAACCCCCGGCCGCACTCGCGAAACATATCAGCGCCTCCGATTTCGAAAAGTCGCAGAAGTATGGCAAGGACAAAGCCAAATTCGCTCTCGTCTCGGGACTGTATAAGCAGGTCCTCGACTCGTTGATGATACAGCTTGGATTCTATGCATGGTGCTGGAGCTCCGCGGGCTCGTTAATGTCGCGGTTCGGGTACGGTTCTGAATATGAGGTAAGTTTTGCCCATTTACTTCCGTCGGAGACTGATCTGCTGCCGCAGATCACTCAGTCCATTGGCTTCGTGTTTCTCCTGCTGCTTGTATCGTCGCTCCCTACTATTCCCTTGTCGGTCTACAGCACCTTCGTGGGTCCCAGGTTCTCCATCAAGTGCTGCTGTCTTTCTCATGCACACGACAGGTTTTGGAGGAAAAGTACGGCTTCAACAAGACTACCCCCGCTCTCTTTGTCACGGACTTGCTCAAGGGATGGGCCATCGGCGGAGTGCTGGCTGCGCCGTTCCTCTGGGCGTTCTTGCGCATCTTCAACTGGGCTGGAGACCGGTTCGTGCCATGGCTCATGGCATTCATGTGAGCCCCATTTTCGCTTCACGACTATGCAGATGGTTGACGTTATGCAAGGCTCTCCTTCCAGATGGTGATGGTCATCGTCTACCCGATGGTGATCCAACCGCTGTTCAACAAACTGTCCCCCCTCGCAGATGGGGAGTTGCGCACTCGCATCGAAGGTTTGGCCAGCAAACTCAAGTTCCCTCTCACCCACTTGTATGAGATCGACGGTTCGAAGCGTAGCTCGCACAGTAACGCGTATTTCTTCGGTCTGCCCTGGGTGCGTCACGTTTTTACTCAAGTTCTTCGTCGCTACAAACGGGGCTAATCCTTCTGATAGAGCAAACACATCGTCATCTTCGACACGCTCATCCAACAAAGTCAGCCTGAGGAAGTGGAGGCCGTGCTTGCACACGAGCTGGGCCACTGGTACTACGTCCACCCTACCAAGATGCTCGCCATCTCGCAGCTGCACATTTTCACCATCTTCGCGCTGTTCCCGGCGTTCCTGCACGCTCCGCCTCTTCTGACATCGTTCGACTTTCCCAAAGGCGTGGCTGCGCAGCCGCCGACCATCGTCGCGTTCCTGCTTTTCCAGGCACGGGCTTCCTCTCCGTCCGTCCTTCCTGATCCCGATTCTGATGGCGCTCACAGATGATCCTGACTCCCCTAGAGGCGTTCGTGTCGATGGGCATGCACGCAGTGAGCCGCCACTTCGAGTACGAAGCCGACCGTTTCGCGTGCGAGCTCAAGCACAAACTCGACGACGAGAAGATGGGCGACATGGGCGACCGTCTCGGCCGCGCTCTCATTGCCATCCACATCAAAAACCTGTCGACGGTCTGGGTAGATTGGCTGTGCGTACACTGTTTCTGTTTCTCGACCATGCAGGAAATTGAGTTGCCTGACAGTTACTCGGCATACCACCACTCACACCCGACGCTCACTGAGCGCCTGCGGGCTCTGGAATCATTCCAGAGCGGCCCCGAGAAGAAGAAAAACTAATGGCCGAGTCCAAGTGTAGCTACAACCAGTTTGTACTGTACATGGAGTCTTGGAGAAAAGCATTCTCGCTATCTCAGTCTGCGCGTTTGTCGTCGTACAGCCCAGCAGTGCTTCCCACGTCGTGCACGCTCCAGAAGCCGAACAGCTGTCCCACCTTGGCGTAGATATCGGATGCAGTGGCGGTGAGCGAGAGCGCCGTGCGGATGACGGGCGAGAAAGGTGGCACGAGCAAAGCCATGAAATCCTGCAGCCGTCGGATACGAAGATAAGCACACCCGAGTCCGAGCAGACAGACAGACAGACAAGATCACGCACGTCGGGATGGTAGAAATCCTCCTGGAACGCGATGTACCACAGCCCATCGATCTCGCGTAGCGTCAGCCGTACCAGCAGGCGCGACGGGGCGGGCTTGAATGGTGAGAGCCGGACGTGGAAGTACTGCGTCGCGTCGAGCACGAGCACGTTGGTGTCCGCGTTGTGCGCTGGCGGGGACGCATTGCGTTGGGTCAAATCCACACACACGAGTCCCGCTGTGCGCACTCACTGATATCGGACACGGAAATCTCGATCGTGGGTGACAGAATGCGGTACCACCTGGGCGCGCGGCGACGCGTCAGTCAGCGGTCCCGCCCGTGAATGAGAGGCACCCGCCGCTCACTGGTAGATGCCCAGGACCCTCTCCCGCGAGCGCGGCCCAGGCGTGACATTACAGAGCGGATGCCGGAATCCCGCGTCGGGCGTCATATAGCGCTTGATGGCAGTGGCTTGGATCTCGGGCGACGCAGCAGCGGTGAAGAGGGAGACGACGTTTTTAATCTCGGCGAGGGGGTCTTCCATGGTGGGTGTTCAAACGTGCACGTCGTGGTATTGGTGTTCACTGACTCCGGTCAGTGCTAAAGAAGACGCACAGCGGGGTAATGACATCATGGGCGATGTGCTTACATCATCATTAGTCGTGAACTGATACATTATTGGAGTCTAAATGGCTGTACTAGTACAAGGGACGCGTATTGGATGCTGGATAACGAACGATATGGAGTATTCATGGTGGGTACAGAGTGAGTGATGGCAGTTGGGGTTTAGCGTGCGACGAAAGCAATTTCGAAAGATCCGATCCTGGACGAGATCAGACTGTGGGTGGCGCTGGCACCGCCGCTCTTGGAGGAATGGGATCGATTGTGACACCCTGAAACTGGATCAGAACACAAAATATTTGACCTGATTTGCCTGCGCACCTTTCCTCTGCAAGCTGGACAGTTGTTCTTGCCAGTCTCCAACCACCGATCCACACAACCTTGGTGGAATGCATGTCGACACGAGAGTACCCGGATGTCATCCATTTCCTCATAATCGTCCAGGCAGATTAGGCACTTGAGATGATAGATGAGCTACGAAGAGAAGATGCAGAGATAAGTGTATGCACCTTTTCTATGCAATTATCGATAACGTTCGCGCTCTTCAATCCATCTCTGTGCATCACCGGCAAGCCAGCACGTTCGATGTCTGTCTTCGTTGCCGTGGTCGGTCGCATATGCCCAAGTAGATCGCCCAGTTCTCGGCTACTCACGTTCAGTGCTTGAAAGCCAGGAGAAAGACGCGACAAACATTAATGCCTCGAAAGACTGCACACCGTCTGCCAGAAGACCATGGTCTGGCGGATAATACCCTGCAAACGATGAGTTCCAGAATGGCTGTGTACTGTCGGCAGACTTGCCTCCTATGACGTAGATCAAGAACGTCTGTGATGAGTCGTTCGCGGTCATCGGCGACCGACCCCCCGTTTCAGCCTCGGGCACTGCTTCAGCTGCTGATCCTGCCTGGGGCTCGGACGCCACTTCCGACTCTTGCACCACTTCTGGACCTGGAGCCGCAACAGGCTCAGGCCCAGGCAGGGCCTCGGCCTCCAAGTCAAAATCTCCGGTATCTGTCGTCGGTGTCGACGGCGGTGGCGTAGACAAACGGCCGGTGGAAACAGACTCCCGAGCCCGACGCCACCAGCTGCGTCGCCGTGCCGCCCTTTCCCTGATCGGTCCAAACGGATCAGTAGTCGCTGGTAGCTCCGGCGCCGGCTGCTGTTCTTCTAATTCTGGCACTGGAGGGGGAGCTTGCACGGCCCCGGGAGCACCCCAAACACCAGCCGCAGCAGAACCCAATTGCACGCTCTGCAATCCAATCAGGATGACCGGAATCATGGTTCGCCCATCCCGAGTTGATGCCGACGTCGCCGCCTCTGCTGCTGTGCCATCCTGGATAGCCGCGGTTACTTGATTGGTAACAACTGTCTCTTGCTCCTGCTGTGCGACCGGTTGTGGAAGGTGTTCCTGCTCTGGCATGGAGTTGGAGCCAGCCAAGGCCAGTGCTGAATATGCAGTCGAAGAATTAATGGCAGGGAATCGATGTAGGCGCCACCAGTTGAGCCCGATACCCGGCCTGCCTAGTGGTGAGGGTTCAACAACAGGAGAAGCATCATGGGTTATGGATAGACCGTCACTTCTGAGCTCTTCCTGGGCGTGGATTCCGGATGGTTCCGATGTCGAGGCTGAGTCCGATGCCGGAGTTTCCAATGGTTCTGAACCTTGTTCCGTAGAATCGTCATCATCATCACCGTCCTCGTCCTCGTCCTCGTCCTCGCCGTCATCACCGTCTTCCTCGTCGACATCGCCCTCGGCTTCGTCCTCGGCTTCCCCGTCCTCGTCCGGTTGTTCGACCTGATCTTCATGACTGTTTTCCTGCTCTCCACCAGACTGTCCCGCCCCGCTCAATGCGACTCTCAACTCAGCCTGCAGGTCTACGAGGAACCGTTCAAACGTCCCTTCATCCGGTGTAGGGCTCGCGTCCGAAATCGAAGCGCCACCGCCATTTCGGTTGTTTCCGAGACCGAGACCCAGCCCTACATTGAATGCACGCGCCATTTCCGAGAGCATCCGGGTCCGTTCGTCTTGTGGATACGCCGCCGGAGACGCTGGTGTTGCTGGTAGCGAAGTAGGGGCCGTGGTCGGAGTCAACGAGTCCGAGTCCATAGAGGGCTCCCTTGCATCACCTAGGGATTCGGCAGCTGCCGTCGGCGGTGTAGCGGAACGTGTTGAAGGTGAGGATGCTGATGGTGCTGATGCGGCGGATGCCGACGAAAGCAGTGAGGCAGCTGTCGCCTGTGCAGCGACTCTGGAATGCGCAATGTTAGCCCATTCAAGACAAGACGGCTGGACATGTAGCATTGCAGCTGTGGCATCGCAAATGCCTCGACCGGGAGCAGTCACGCGCCACGACAGGCGATGAGAACAAAGATGGGCGCATGCAATCTACCCGCTATCCTGCCCACGAGCGAGAATTAATTATGAGCACTCACGTTAGAAGGGTTCCCAGCACGTCAATGCTGCTGTTTGAGATGGGCACTGAGGGGGAATTCGCGCCGTCCGTGTCCGAGGGGTTGGAGTTAATAGGATTGGAATTGGATGGCTGGATATCGGTGGTATGAACGACACCTTGGACGACTACGAGCGTGCCATGGGGCGGGAAGGTCCGAGCCGGCGGAGTCACGGGCGGAGATACAGGGAGTGCGGGCTGGTATGGGACGGGTGTAGCTGCTCGCTCGCGGACCTCGGGCGTCTCATCAGCAGTCTCCGCAAAGTCTTCGACCAGTGTCTCGACAGGAGGCTCATCGAAATTCTGCACCAGTGGCAACGCCTCCTCCTCCTCTTGCTCAGCATGCACGTCGGGCAGCTGAGGCTCGACAGCATCCCCTCCGAAGGAGAGCTCACCTGCCCCTAGCCCTACGTCAAGCTCCTCTGGTGCGCAAGATGCACGTCTGCTGCGTCGGCCATCCATTTTCCCAACAAGACCGAGAATACTGTTTCGGAAACGTGACTTGGACGGCCGCCTCGTTCTCGTTACTGTCCGAGGCGCTGGCTCTGTGGGAGCAGAGGCAGATGCAATCCGGTCGGCGCTCGCCCCACGGGTGGAGATACCATGATTAGAGTGGGATGCCGAGCGGCGGCGGTGGGACGCGGACTGACCCATGACTGTGAGCGTTGGGGAAGGAGTGAATGAATGCCCGTGACGATGTCATCGCCATCACGATGACAGGTGCACTGCCACAGTGCTTACCACACGTGCTTCCCATGTAAGTAATACTGGTCCGTTCCCCCAGTCATACCCTGACATACCCTGCATCGCAAGCCCTGATGGGGCAGAGACGTGTTATATTGCGTGGGTTTCAAGAGCGCTCCTGTTCAGCCCTTGAAGCTAGTGTGCGATGTATGGCCTCCATCGCAGGCAAACTAGTAACATCTGCGACACCAGGCATGAACATAAGCAGCAAGTGCTGGGCAAATGGCAGATGCAGCTGGCATGATGTCCTGATGACCTCCGTCGAGATCGGCCCCCTTTTCAAGTCCGATTACATTGTCTTCAAGAGCATATACAGGGCAATTGAGATACATCGAGATATTGGCTACATTTGTCGTCTATGATATGCAATATAAGGATATGGCTACTTCCTTCCCCGTACAATCAGGCCGCCGTCCCAACTGCTGACTGTCCAGCCTTCCGCTTCCAAAGCACGCCTCACAGCGGGCTTCAGTACACTGACACTATTAGCAGAATGGGCGCCACGGCCCGTGATGATCTTCAGTGGAGAGTCTAAAAAGAGGGAAATGAGCACGGATGCAAAGGCAAAGGACGCAAGACGGGCTGACCTGCACCCCAAGAACCTTCCGACAGCACCTCATTCACAATGATCACTGCCTCCGACACGGTGACACCATGCAAATCCAACATATCTCCTCCACGCTGATGGCGAGAAGAATCAACGATCATCCGAGCAGCGTCAAGTGAATCACGTCGGGCCATTTCGCCGAATTCGCGTGCGCGCTCGGCATAATACCCCGCAGCTTCTCCCCCGAGACCTCCACGGAACTTTGACCACGCCTGTGCTGCTTCTCTCAGCATTTCGTTCCGTCGCCGAACATTCTCTCCCATTCGAAGCCGGTAAACGTCGATGTTTGACCCCCTTTGGCGAGAAGAGACTCCATTGACGTCCCGAGAGTAAGTAGGCACGTGGAACGGCTGGGTTTTGTG